AGATAGTAAAGAAGTAGATTAGAGTAGTAGTAGAGCTTATATTTATAGTAGAGACGCGTTAATTTTAAAGTAAGTATATTTAGTTAATATAATTCTAGTAGAAGAAAGAGCGTAAGTAAGTAGATATAAAGATAGTATACTATAGTAAAATAAAATAAAGTACCTAAGGCGTAATTTAGTAAGAAGGTAGATAGAAAGGTAAAGATAATAAGTAGTAAGATATAATAAGAGAAGGTAGAGCTAGTATACTCTAGAGCTAGAGAAATAATATTCTAGACTAGCTAGCTACTAATACTAAGTATAATAGAGTATATATAGCTATAGAGATACTAAATTTAACACTAGAGGCTTTTATTTTAAGTACTTAATTTAGTAACTAATTCTAACTATAGATACCTAATTTTAGTTTTAATTTAAGTTTAAAATTTAGCTATAAGTATTAAAATTTAGCTATAGGCGTTAGATTTAGCTATAAAAGCGCTTTTTTTTAGCTATAGAGGCACTAATTTCTAGCTATAGAAGCGCTTATTTTAAGTGCTTAATTTAGTAACTAATTCTAACTATAAGCGCCTAATTTTAGCCTTAATTTAAGCCTAAAATTTAGCTATAGATATTAAAATTTAGCTATAGATATTAGATTTAGCTATAAAGGCGCTCTTTTTTAGCTATAAAGGCACTAATCTCTAGCTATAAAGGCGCCTATTTTAAGTGCTTAACTTAGTAACTAATTCTAACTATAGATACCTAATTTTAGCTTTAATTTAAGCTTAAAATTTAGCTATAAATATTAAAATTTAGCTATAAGTGCTAAATTCTAGCTATATATAAGCTATACTAGTAGTAAGTATAGTAATTACGTAAAGAACTTTAAAATTTAGCTCTAAACTTCTCTACTCTATAACTTTATAACGTAAGTAGCTATTAATAAGCTAAGTATAGCGTTAAATTTATATAGTAATTCTATATAAAATAGCTTACTTAGATTTTATCTAGGCTCTTAGATAGTAAAGTTTAAAAGTCTTAGAGCTACTACTTTAGAGCTACTCTCTATTTCTTATTAGTGCTTATTACTCTTACTAAAAATTACTTAGACCTAGTAGCTCTAAGACGTTTTCTTAGTTAGGTTTATACTAGTATATAAGGTATTTTTATATAAATTAGATCTTTAATAATCTAAAAATTACCTAGAAAAAGAATATCTTATAATAAGAGCTTTTTAGAATTATCTTATTATCTATAATATTATTTTTTACTTATACTTTTTAGTATTAGACTCTTATATAATACTTTAGATAATAGAATCTTTTTATAATAGAACTCTTTTCTACTAAACTAATATTTATATACTTTCTTACTTATACTAATTACTTTTTATTCTTATAGTAATATATCTTTATACTTTCTAATATCTATATAATAGTATACTTCTTAAGAATTTATTATTAGCTTATAGAAATATAATATATAGTATATAGAAATATTATTTTAAGATCTATTAAAAGTTTATTTATTAAAATTAGTATCTAGATTATTTCTTACTATATAATAGGTCTACTCTATCTATAATACTAGAGTAACGTAGTAGTTACTCTAGTAGCTATAGTTTTAGACTTAATATTATCTAACTATTATATAGGCGCTTAGACTTAGCTTTAAAGTAGAGCTATATTAATCTATTAGTAGCTAAAGGTACACTCTATCTCTTTGCTTACTTAACGTAGTAGCCTTACACTTAGATTAGTTGCCTAATAGACTAACTAATTAACTCTAACTTAGCATGTAGGTATCTAACATTCGCGTCGTGTTAGAATGCAGATTGCGATTGTTGCAACGGGAAAGAACATAGATATGCAGATCGATTCTAGATAGAGAGGCTTAAACAAATATAACGGCTTCTCGCAAGAGTTGCCTAGTTAAGGTTAAGGTACGGCGAACGTTATAGGAGCAGAGTTTGTGTTAGAGCGCGGATCTCTAAGTAATGTTGTAATCTGCGGGCGAGATAGAGTACCGTGGATATGCTGCGGCGTACCGATGGGAAATCCTCGCACGTGCAACCTCCTCTACGCTTCCTTACCTCTACACGAAGTAGCCGTGACTACTGCGCAAGAATCGCCTGGATTATTCAAAGTCAGACACCGACTTACATATCATCCGGTCACCGACTCCCGTATTCTGTGGTCTACTAACACCGTTCGAAAGAGAGCGAACATGTCGAGCGACCACGCCTTTCAGCCTGCGCAATCTCCGTCGGACGACAAAACGATCATCGACGACGCGACACATCCGAAGACGAAGGATAAAGAGAACCAGATGCACCGCGACATTGTAGGAACAGGACTGCGAAGCGAGAGATCGACGTGGTGGCTCAAATTCATCTTCTCCCAGCTGGTGACCGCTCTTGCCATGTTCTTGTACAACAGGCTCTTTGGTAATCCTTGGCGGTCCTGCCCCCCTTGCGAAGCCCGAGACTGCTGAAGATATTGGGCGGAGGCTGTGGAGTATAACGAGGTCTGCGGGAGCTGGAAGTGGCGGGTTGCTGCGGCGCGGTATGGACGGGCGGGACGCGTGTACACAGCCTGTTGTTAGCTACAGATCAATGGCAGCGCATCGCGCATGCCTGTCGTCGTGCTATCGCATGCGCGCATCAAGGACCGGGTCGTGAGCGTGATGGTCGTGATGGTGGTAGTTGTGACTGAATTGACCTGGCGGCAAGCGCTTGGACTCGGCACGGCACATAAATCTCCGGGCAGCCCGCTCTTCCGCCGCCAGCGCCAGCGCTCCGTACCGCACCCCGCAACTGCATGCACTTCGCCCACACCAGTCTTTGGCAGCTTAGAAGCATCGTGCGCGACAATAACCGGGCGAGCGCGACATAAAATCACGAGTAGGGGGCTTGTCTGTCCTACATTGTCGCCGCCCGCCCCCGTCCGTCAGTAACCCGCCCGAGAGCTCGACGTATGCTCGCCCAGCCCAGACAGCATCCTCGATAGCCTCCGCGCCGGCGGCATATTCGGCGCATACCTTCTCTGCAGTCTTCCTACGCCCGATAACGCCGTATGAGAGCGCCATAAGCTCTGAAAGATGCGAAGTGACAGGTGCAAATGCTATTTCTCAGTCGACAGGGCAAGAAAGACCAGTGTGAGGAGCTTGAGGCAGTCGCACTGTAGTATATGAAGGAGAGGGCGTATGCGCGTATAGTCATGTCGGCGACAGGATGGATAGTGGGCGAAAGCCGGTTTCCTACTGCCTCGATGCCAGCATACACGCCGATATCCAGCGACGACATCTATTCCGCTAAACCATCGATCGATCGAGTTGCCTCCGCTATGAGCGCATCACATAGATGGGCAAGAAGGGCGGCGGAACCATGGCTATTTAGCATTGCGACATGTCTGACAGCACGAGTTTGACCGCTTCACATCATCCTACCATCACAAGCGTCATGCCTACCCCCTCCCGGCCCCCGAATCGCCGAATACCACGTTCTACCACTCCGCGATACCATACACACAACGGAGCGACAGCTCGGCGGAGTGGAATCAAGATAGGTCGTTCCACACGTATGGTCGGTCGAACGCGCAGTTTGTGAAGCCGGCGTGGCGCAGCCCCATCGAGCGAAGACTGAGCCCGATGGCATTGCGGACGAAGGCATGTGTGCGCATATACGGATTGTTCTCGTTGAGATAACACTTGGTGGTCATGGTGTACTGTGGACAGTTGACGTGAAAGCCCAGGGGACCCGAGATTGATTGCGACAACATCCGGCCGGCTCTGATCGAGGAGAGCGAGTCTAGGATTGATGACTCAATCCATCATACGCGTTGTGAGATACGGAGGGTGCGCCGCATCATAACCGAAGTCTCTTGTCATTGAGCGGCTTCGACCTCAGCACCGCCCCATGTCGACCAACCTACACCACCTCGCCGACGCGACATCGTATCCCGAATCCAAACCCCTTTTAGTCCTCCATCAATCATCCGCAGACAAAGGTCCACTTCGCTGCGTTTCGCCCCACGTCTCGCCGTCGTTCAGCGTCACCATGCAACATTGCGAATTGCGAGAATCACCACGGTGATCGCACCGAACAGCCAGAGTACAGCAAAGATCATTCTACAAGGAGTACACTCGTCGGAGCTGCGGTCTATGTGTCGTGAGCCGACGTAGTGCGCCGCCGGAAAGGCTCCATAATCCATCATGTACTGAGCTGAAGCATGGACTGGCGCGCCCATCGCTGGGTCGGTCGCTGGGTCGGAGTAAGTCGGTGGTGGATCGCATGCTGGCGGCTTCGCACTTGATGAGTGACAAGGTAATTGATCGGGCATCACACGAACTCACCTCGGGATGCTGGTAATGCGATGAATCCGCCATGGCCACTATACATAATCTGAAGGCTCTCGCGAGTACGACTAACACCGGCAAGCCCGGTTGGGCAGAGATCACGCCTCTTCACTCGCTTTGACCGCGGCGCAACTGCGCCTCATTTACATAGCCCTAGCAGAGCATGAAACAGCCACATGATCGCATTCTCTCCTGCATGACATGTTCGCAGCTGTCTTAACTGCTTGCTGCACATCAATCGAAAATATTCAGTCAACTCGCACAGCAGCAAACCAACATCCTCTCTCGTTCAGGAGTCAATTTGGTTCTGGCACGGCACATTCTGTCAGTGCGACGCTTCAAAATTTCGTGCGCGCAGGCCACGGCGCAGGCTACCGGTGGTTGCTACATCATTGCCTCGTCTGACAATGATTTGTGCTATCAGCACACTCTCACAGGGCGCACGGTACAACCCATCAGTATTACACCACATGACCATTTGCTAAAAAATTACGTCCGATAGATCACAAGGTCTATTGACATGCCGCTAGTCCCCATTTTACAAGCCCTACGGAAATTTCGAGACCTTGTATATCTTTGCCTGCACTGCACTTTCTAGCGCGGAAGAGAGGTTCTCGTGTGCCCATCAAGTAGCGCAAATGCTATTCACGTCGCTTGATACACTAGAATACCCTGCCCACCATACCGTTCCTGCGCATTATGGCTTCCTTCGTCTCGAGAGCGTCGTACGAAGTCGCACTGTAGATATCGTCGGAAAAGCCCAAAAGATCGTCCAGGCTGATCACCTCGTCAGGGGCCTTCCAGCCCAGCTCCGTCGGCAAGCGCTCGTTCTCTACACGACGATTAGCACAAGATAGCGGTACACAAGGTTCTAATACATACCGAAGAAGTACTCCACCAAATCACGCCTCGCCGTCTTCTCCGTCTTGTTGCCGAAGACGAGCATGTACCCAGCGCCTTCGCCCGCGCTGAAGTCTGCAGCCAGCTCTGACAAAGCGAACTTGGGATTGTACTTGACCGAATCGATCATGCGGGCGAGACGGGCGTTAGCGGCCATTTGGATGTCGATGAGATCATCGGTCCAGTAGGCACGGGTTTGATCGTAGATGGTGGAATTGAAGGAGATGGCATCGTCATTGAAGTACTTGTCTGAGCGGCTAGATGGTGACGTCGCGTTAGTCGTGCGCTTTGCAGTGTAGGCTTATATCGACCAGCGGATTTGGAAAAGGGCTGCAGAACTTACCTCAGACTAGCATCATGCTCCAAGATGTTGTGGTTGCCGAGCGTGTCAAGCCCCCAAGTCGTTGTGTTCGGGCCGGGGTTCGTCGTCAGCGCAAAGTTGTACAGCAACTCTGAGATGTCATCGCCGACGCTGATGGCGTTTCCCAGGGCGTGTTTGATTTGGGGAAGCGTAAAGTTACGCCCTTCGCGAGGGAGGAAGCCGTGGTTTGCCAGTGTGTTGAGCATTGGGCATGGGCCTCGTGCTGGAACATGTCAGTATTTGCTGTGGTGAGCAGTTGGGAAGATATCAAACGTACATTCTCCTGGACCTGCTGGGTGCCAGCTGGCGAGAGAGCCCTGAGCGTTGACGAAGCCAACGCTTGCAAGTGCGACAACGACTAGAGAAGGGATGCGCGTCATCTTGTTCGATACGAAGAAACGGTATGTGAAGTGAAGGAGAAGTCGTAAGTTGAGGATGTCGCACTGTCGCACTGAATGAGAAGAGGACGCACGAATCCGACCAAACCCCGCTTGAGATCTCTCTTATACTTTCTCTATCACAGTAAGATAAGCAAACTCGCATAGCCCGCACTTAGTTATCTTAGCCTAAACTAAAGTCGCTCTATCCTAAATAGCATCTTAAACATTTCTATAGTGATACTTACGTAGACTTCGCGACTTAACCCCCTTCTAGTTTATTACGCGAGACAAGCGTACTTAGGCTCTCTAGATTTAGTTATCACTAAGGCACTCTCGGTGCCTAAAACCCCGAGCAGTAGTACGGTAGATGTAATAACATTTCGAAACAGTAGAGAGTAACCTGTACGTATTAACAATTATTACGCGTTTACTAGTTACTTATAACTAGGTAGATTCTTATTAGCATCTATAGAAGAGACGTTTAGAAAATATAGAGAGTCTCTAGTGTCTGTAAGAGTATAGATAGTTACTACGCTAATATTACACTCTCTACGCGTACGCTAAGGTAGGTTTACTTTTAGCATTATAGAATTCTTACTTATAGTCTAGCTGCCTTCGCTACTATTTAAATATATTAAAATTACTACTTAAACCTCTAATAGATACCTTATTGTTTTTAACTAACCTATTCCTCTCTTAATAATTTAATCTATAGTATACACGCACTACAGAGTAGACACGTCTTAAAGTATAAGATATATAAGTATATAATATATAGTCTAGAAATAGATAAAGTTGCGAATTTAGCACTAGCTAGAGCGCAGCAAGTGTTGCGTAGCAAGAGACGCGTAAACTAGCGTTATTTAGCGGCTTAGCCTCCCGCCTACAAGAACTAGAACACTAAGACTACTACGCCTACTTTCTATATTCTCTTCTAATAAGAATCTATAGAGAGTTTAGCAATTAGATAAGTTCTACCTTTATAGTTCTTTCTTATTCGCAGCAAAAGGTAGACAAATCTTAGGTCTAATTATTCTAATTGCAATACTATCTTTTAAGATATATTAAGTAATATTATTTATATTCTACACTCTTACACGTAATAAAGCAGAAGCTATTAATAATATAGGCGTAACGCTTTTTACAACATAGTTAGCCTCTCTTAACTCTAAATAATAGCTGTATTATAGCCTTCTATACAGAATTAGAGTACGCAGGCACTATAACACTCTATTAGGTATAACGTCTAACACTAATCGCTATTATATAAGGTATAACACTATAGTAAATGTATATATATATAGTCTGCCTACACTATTATATAAGGTAGTGCACTATAATTATTAGCGTAGAAGATAACTTATAAGTATATAAAGTGTAAACATAATTGTATTTATTAATCTAGTATTATAAGTAATAGTATTTATTAGTAAACTAATAATTCTATAGCAGAAGCTAGTCTAAAAAGAGTAAAGTCTATTACTAGTATATAAAAAGACGTATTTTAAAAAGGTTAAAATCTTATATTTAGAGGTATAGGCGTTAGGTAGACTAAGGCTTAGGTTCTTAGTACTACTACCTCTAGTGTAGTAGTTAAAGCTTTTAAAATTTAGAGTAGTAAGGTAACTATTCTATAAATACTAACGTCTACCTATAGTAGAGAGAATTATAATATAATTATATATTCTTAATAGCTTATAACTAACTAAGCTATAGATTATAAAGTAATAAAATACTAAAATCTTAGCTTATAAAATTATACTTCTACTAACTCTTTATCTCTATCTCTATTTCTATCTTTATTCTTATTCTTATTCTTATTCTTATTTTTATTCTATAGCTTATAGTAAAATTAGAGATCTAAAGACTTATTAAAGATATAAATAGTAGCTTAAATCTAATACTAAAAGCTACACTAATACGTATATTAAATAAGCTCTTAACTATATTCTTACTATACCTTTTCTATAAGTTCTTCTAGCGTTAGTAAGTCTAAAGCTAATCTTATTACTAGTTATATTACCTTACTTACTAAAGCTTAATTAAGCCTTTTATTATTACTATATTAATTATTTTTCTTTTAAACGCGTTACCTTCTATCTCTATAAGTTCTTTTAAGATTATTATTCTAAAAGCTATTATAGAGGCTATTATAAACTACTATATTTATACTATACTAGAGGCTATTATAAGCGCTCTAAAGAGCTACTTTACTAGTATAGAGCTATACGCTAGACCTATTAACGTTTCTATTACTTCTATTTCTATTACTTCTATTTCTATTATCTCTACTATATATATAGTTAGCGTAAGACCTTTTATTATTCTTTTTTCTATCTTTACTTTTAAAAAGCTTATTAGTAAAATATATAAGCTCTTTAGTAGTTATAGTTTCTTACTTAGAAAAAAGATAGAATAGAAAGACTATTCTATTAACTATTTTACTAAGAGAATACCTCTAATTAATTACTATATTACTATCTATAACTAGGTATATAAAGTAAAAGGTAAAGTAATACTACTTTTCTTTTTAGCTTTATAGAAAGCTATACTCTAGTAAAGAAATACTTTAGCTAGAATACTTTATAAAGATAATAAGAGCTAGTATAGTAAAAATATAGCGTTTGTAGATTATCTTATATAGTAAGATACTATTTATTAGATAGTAGCTATAATAGACTACTATAACTTCTATTAAGATCTAAAGAAATAGTTATTATATTATAGTTATTAGCTAGTTAGCTTAGAATAGATACTATAAGGTCTAGTGTAGTATTTCTATTACTACTATATTATCTTAGTAGTTCTTAACTACTACGTAAACTAAAGAGTATATAAATATATATAGTTATAGTTAAGTATTAGTGCTAATAGTAATATACACTAAATATCTTAAAATCTTAAAATTTTCTAGCTATTCTAAGATAGTAGCTAGGCGTTTTTTAATATCTTTTTACTAAATAGAGTCTATAAAATTAGGTATAAGGCACTATAAGTAATAGTATATAAGTATATAAGAATAAGTATAAGGTATAAAGCTTTTATAGCTTACTTATAATTAGATAGTAAATAATATAAAGCTTAGCGCGCTAAGCTTTAGCTAATATTTTAATATTTTTAATTTTTTACTAAAAATTACTTTAGTACTATAATCTATTAACGTAATACTTATTTATAAGCGTTTATTAAAACCTCTATAAAGAGTTTTTAGTACTAAAATACTTAAGTATATATACTAAGCGTAATAAATAAAAGTTCTAAAGATATTCTTTTATTCTCTAATACCTACTTTACTTATTATATTAGTAAGTACTTTTTTTTATTTACTATATATTACTAACTAAATAAATTATATTAATATACTTTAATAACTACTAGGTAATTCTTCTAGATTAACTTTTTAATAACTCTAACTTATTACTTACTTCTACTCTTTTTCTTAATAATAAGATACTATTTTTATAGTTATAAAATAAAATTAAAAAAATCTATAGCTATAATATTAGTAGTAACTCTATATCTATATTTAGTGCTAATATTACTAGTATTAAACTAGAAGTTATTAATAATATAGTTATAGCTTAGGTTAATATTAAGAAAGCCTATATTATTTTAGAAACTAGCTAGCTTATTTTTTTATAAGTTTTTTATCTTAACTAAAGTAACTATAAAAATAAAGTATTAAAAAAAATTATTAGATAGTAGCTACTAGCTTTTAATAACTTTTAATATAAAATAGATATAAGAAAGATTATAAGTAAAAAAGATATAGACTTTATAAAGAAGCTATTTAAAGAAGAGAATAAAGCTTAGATAGCTAGAGTACTATATTAATATATCTAAGTCTAGTATAGATATAGAAATAAGTAAATAGTGTATATTACGCTAGAAATAAGTAAAAGAATATTAGTAATAGTATAGTATTAGTTATTAATTAAAATACTATTAAATAAGTATTAATTTATTCTCTAGAGTTTCTTTTAACTAGGCGCTACTACTATATAAAGTGTAAATAGTTTATATTTCTATTAGATATTAAGTATTAGAATACGCGCTGTCTACACTTATATAGACTAACTAGATAATAAGTTATTAGCTCTTACTAGTTCTAGAACTATTACCTTCTTCTTAATTTATAGTATATTTATTACTAGGTAAGTCTAAAGTATATACTAAGATATAATATATAATGTATTAGCTTTATAGCAAAGAGTATTAGCTATTCTCTCTAATATGTTAGTAAAGCTCTATATACATAACAGCTCTAATTATAAGTAGTAGTTAGTAAGTAGTGTAGATGCAGGTGTCTTAGCTATTCTGTAGCTAAAATTATTACTTTCTATTACGCCTACTACTTGTGCTATTTTCTAATAGAAATGTAGAGAAATTAGCGATTAGATTTTAGCTGCCTTGCGTGCCTTTTGCTGTTAGTAGCTATAGTTAGAAGAATTAAGACTCTAGTAATTGTTAAAGGCATAAATATCTCTAGAATCGTATACCTATAGAACTGCTATAATGTAGCGTTATAGCATTTTTCTTTAAATAAAGCAGAGGCACGGCTACGTGCTACATAGGCCGCAGAGTATAGTAGCCTTTCTATAGTTCTGCATTACAGCTGCAACGCATTCTTTAATGTAGAAGAGAGACGTACAAGCACTAAGTTGTTCTTTTTAGAACGACGCGTGACACTAATTGTTATTCCTGGTAGTAATTACTAAGTACATATGCCGGCAACAAGCAGCTTAAAACTCTACCACAACAGGCCTTGCACTGCGATTCTTAGCACGAAAGAGAGGCCCGGATGTACAAAGGACGGATCACGCTACAGATCCTTGTTAACCGGTGCATAATAAGAAGCGAGGTGCCTGTACCCGCTCACGCTCCCGGGTAATCATTTGCCGGCTCTCACCGGCTCAGAGCCTGTACTGTACTTGGAATTTGTATGTTGTCTGATAGCAAGAAGACTCAAAAGGTACGAAAAATGAGTCCTCGACGCATCAGCTTCACGGCAGAGAGAAACTGTCACTTGGCTCAGCCTGACGGCTAGTAGCGAGCGTGCAGCGAAGCGACAGGTACGACATCCATCATGTGGCCAGGTTCATTACTTTCTATCGTGTATCTTCTGGTGTCTCTTGAGATCGTTCAGCCTCGTAAAAGCCTTGCCGCATTCCGGGCACTCGTGTGGCCTTTCCCCTCGATGGCTCAACTCATGGTTCTTGCGGTGAAAGTTGCGCGAAAACGTCTTTCCGCACATCGTGCAGGCGTGGGTCGATGCCTCGCGTTTTGTTGTAGCAGTGATGAACTTCTCGGCTAAGTCACTCATCTCGGGATGGAACGCGCGTGTGTGTCTCTCCAGATCCTTCGCGTTGGCGAACCCTTCAGCGCCCAGGCAATCTGGAACTTCACACTGGAACGGTCGTTCGTGAATGTTGACGTGTCGGTTGCGAGCCTTTTCATCCTTGAAGCCCTCTGAGAAGTACCTGCATGTGATCCTCGTGCATTTGAATCGCCTTTCCTCGTCGTAGAATCTTTTGTATGCCTCCTTCTCGTGTGCAGTTGGGCCAGGCTTGCTCTTGGGGAATATCTCAAGAGCCTTCCTATTCCGATCCAAGGCCTTCGAGAGGTCTTCAATGCTGATCTTGTGTTGTGCATCGAAGCCTTTCTGCTGGAACGTGTAAATGTGGCTTGTGAGCTCCACTAGATGATCGTGGAGGTCGAGATGCTCGAACACCCTGCACTTGGTCTTACAGTCGTCCACCAGGCCGTTGGACCAGTCCACGTCGCCATACCGTGTCATGAAATCATCCATGGCTTTGAAGATGCTTTGTAATTGTCCTGCCGCGTCATTTGCCTCGTCGAGGAATCTCTCGCCTTGGCCAACCCAAGCGTTGACATGGTGGAACCATTTCGCGATAGCATAATCCTGGAAAGCAATCGATCCGTCCAATACGTATCGTCGGCGTTGCGCTTGATCATCTGGATCGTCGACGTCGAAACAGGGAAAAGTAAGGTATTGTAGACACAACGTCGCCAACTCGCATTCGATGGATGGCTCGTGGATATCTTCCGTGATGTTAGTGATGTACCTGTTCCAGTCAGGATAAGCACGTCACGAACGCAGACAGTTTAACGTACGTCTTGGCTGTGCTATGAACGAGAGAGACTCGGTCGCCATTCACAAGTACTAGTGAGCCGCATGTTTCGTAGATGTGATCGCGGAGATGTTGGTGTTCGTAATCGATGGTTTGATAGTCTACGTCGATCGAGAGTGCGACTTGTATCTCCTTCCAAGTAAGCCGGCGCTTGGCACACACCAACCTGCAAGACACAGTCGTGGTCAGAATACAATGTGCAGGTCCTGGGATCAGAAGGCAACACACCATCCGAGTAATTGCTTGGTTTTCGGCCATCCTCTGCCAGATCTTGTTTTGACACGTGTGACTATCCGTTCATATCTGTCGACGCGGTCAATGAACACTCGATCTCCGTAACGAATGTACGAACACGGAGCCCAGAAGATGTCGCGGGCTCCATTCGGTGTGTACCTACGCTTGTGCGAGTCCGGGAGGAAAGTTCTCGGTCTTGATATAGTCCAAAAGCTCCGCTAGCGTCATACACGCGTGAAGGTCAAGCAAAACCAATTTGGCGTAAAGGAACATGCCTGCCTTGGAATTAGACCCTGACTGTGTGTAGGGATTCATCAATCGACTCACCTTTTGCGTTAGCCACGATAAGGTTACGAAGGTATTCTTTCATGTCTTCCGTGAATAATGGAAACTTTGCCTCAATGCGATCTACCCACATCCTGGTGTAGGCCTTGATGTCGCCCTCGTTGTCTTTTTCCGAGATCTGCAGCATCTTGGGCGCTATCTTGGTGATTGCGGAGCTGTGAAGCCCTCTCCGTATGTCGGCGTGGTCTTGACTCGTGATCAAAAGGCGGATGGTTCCCGGATCAACCGCATCGCGCTGCCCTACGAGTTCGGTTAACATATCCAACAATTGGCTTCTCTCAGCCCTTTCACACTCGTCCAGCCCATCAACGATGATGAAGAGTTTGGGAATGGTGAAGCAAAAATCTTCGAAAAGCCTCTTCGCTTGGTTGGGAGATCTGAGGGACGGTTCCCCACTCGAGCTGCGCCGTGTGTAGCAGGGAGGCAGCATCTGTGGATAATGATCTAGCAGTTGATCTGCCAGGCCCTTCAGTATACCAACCGCGGTGCTACTTGTGGGGTCGCCATCGTGACAGTAAAAGAAGCAGGTGATGAAGTCAGTCTTGGTCTTGCACTCTTCGACGATGGCCGATGTCAGTATAGTTTTGCCTATTGTCAATCAGGATCATTCTGCCGATACAGTAAGGACACGCACCAGCTCCTGGTATCCCGTAAACCCAGACGACAGGACTGTTCGGGATATCGGCGTGGATCCAATGTTTGATGGTCTCGTGCTGTGTCACCCACTTGGTAGTGGTCGCGCATTCGTTCCGTATCTTGCAGTAGCTTTCATGATCGAGCCGAGGTAGCTCTCCAACAGCCAGCCAGTCTTTGACAAGCATCAGCTTCTTGGTCTCTTCTCGTTGGACGTTCTCTTCCAACTTCGCCCGGAAGTCGGCTACGTCGTCCTGGTAGAGTCGGTATTGGGCGAGACTAGCACGGCACTCAACTATGTCTTTATGTCGACGAAGACTACTCAAAACTCCCTCAAACTTCGTATGGAAGTTCTTCCACCTGTATCCCAAAGTTAAACATTAGCACCATTTTCTCCTGGATTCCGCACGCAGGATACTGACATGGATTTGAAGAACCGAGTCCATACTGTATCAACATTAGCTAAAGCATGCGCGGAGATCCGGCAGGGCTAGCCTACATCTGCCCGAAAAGAACTTGAGCGCTTGTTGGTGGAATTCCAAGATGTCCAAATACATCATCTCCAAGGCGTCAATCATATGGGGCGATTTGTGAAACAATGATTCGTATTCGACCAGCAACGGTAGCTGTTCGCCAATTCTCTCATACGCGTCCAGAAGTTGTTCGAATGAGTCGGCAAACGTGCTAGCTGTCTATACCATGCATTAGTTGAGGCATCGCTCCTCATAGACCGTCAGTGTACCTACCAACAAGATGAACTTCATAGGACCCCAGACGAAGGCGACCGCGTCTGAAACGTTGAGGAAGATCTCTATGACTTGACCGAACTGGTGCATGGCCTCCAGACATGATTTGACACGAGCGAGGTTCATCGCTTCCATTCGGTGCTCTTGCTCATGTTGAACCTGGATTAATGCTTTGCAGAGCTGATCGTATGTCGTCGTGCTAAACTCTGTAAGTTCCGTGCCTGTGAGTTTGTTGCGAAACTGCGTGATAGCACGGGTCAAGGCGGTTCCTGTCGCATGCCGTGGTGGGGTGAGCCCTCCGACAAGGGTCGGTTGCTGGGACAGAGCGCCCGTCGAAGTGCGACTAGCCGATTGCGAAGATATTGGGCCCGCCATTAAACTTACTCATCAAACGTCGTGCGGAAGTTCGGATATGCCAGTCAAAGATGGGATGGTTGTGCCGCCATGCCAGGCAGCACTAATAAGTCGAAGATATGTGCGTAGGCCATGACTGACCAGCTGCGTTGCTGTGGAGGGGGCGGAGCAAGGCTGAAGATGTGCGTGTGGCTTATCGGCATGCAGGACGCGGCGAGAGGCTGCAACGTAGCCTCCCGGGTACGACGAGCTGAAAAGACCACATATCCGCAGCATAATAAGCAGCGCCTCTTTCGCACGTCTCACGAATGTCGAGCCACAGTTCTCGAGTGTAGTCTAGAAGTTGGTTGAAGTAGACTCTCATCCGCGAATCGATCATCTGCTCGGGTAGCATTGCTGCCAAGCCGCTAGACCAGAACGCGCTTACGTCTCGCGTCATGACGCTCAAACACCTACTCAACGACGACGATGTCGACAACTTTCACCACGAGAGGCACAGTCCGCAGCTGGACTGGTTCCAGCAAGATTCCTTGGATCAGTATGCGATAGACGCTTTGTGAACGAGCGCACGGCTGATGATCGTAGGTATACAGCGGCTCTACCAACTCAATCCTGGGATCAATACGTGGACGAACTTCTTGGGTCACAGGACGCACAATGCGACCCACTACTGGATGGGATCGACATAAATGGCTCTTTTCAAGAGACGAGCGCCAATATTGAAGAATGGACGACCGGGCAAGCGCAGCATGAGTCCATGGAAGAGCAAACTCTAGCTGAGCAGGAACATATCTGTTATGGCATGGTAAATAGAGAACCAACAACCGCGTAGATGTTGCCACATTTCGCGGCGAGCTGACATGCATTCAGATCTTTAGGGCCGCTATTCGCCTCCGAGGCGACATGGCGGAGCTTCATCGTAAGCTCAACAACATCGCATCATCCCCGGTCACAGGCCATGCGCGAATGATTGTCATCAAACCCGAAGCGCAATTCGTTGTCGCTTCTCCGGAAGGATTCGTTGTAGGAGACGTGAACGCGCAATTAGACGGAGCGTTAACGAGCATTGCAGAGCAAGGCTATGAGATCGATCTGGAGGTCTTTGCTCCAACGGTGGTCATCCAGGAGACTATAGGTCGCGCCACGAAGGACAAAGAAGCCGTAGTAAGGGTACAGATGAATGTGTACGGCCCATCGACAGCCGCTTGGGACATCGGCAAGGAGTTATCGCAGCAAAAGATCTACCTGCAACGCCCTGTGTACATACGAGATGGTTATCGATACCAGAATCCCCACATTCTCACCCTTCCTGGATTCCATGGCTCGACACCTGAGATACCAACCATGACAGAAGAACCTTTACCTGACAAGGTCGGTCTGCAGACATTGAGAAGCACCCTCCAAAATGTGTATTCCTCTTTGACGCGAGATCGCAATTTGCACGGGTTAGAGGGTGACGAGCGCCTCAACACCGATCTTTTGTTGTAAGTTATTTTTGATCCTCTCCGTCAACCTTTTGCTCTCACTTCCGAATATCGATGCTTCGCGATCACCCGCTGATAGACCCAGGCACCAGAAGACAGCACTTTCTTTCATGATGCAGCGCGAAGATGGGCCCATACCAGACGAGTACACACTCTGGAGGCCGAGCGAAGAAGATGGAGTCCAATGGTATGTATCCTGCAAACTGCCTTGCGTAATACCGCTGACACCACTGACAGCTATCGTCATGTTCTGACGAAAGGACGTTGTGAGTTCGTTCTTTACACGTTCTGATTTGAAAGCATACTAAGAATTCGATAGCCATGGTTGAGCCTAAGGAGACCGGTGGTGGTATCCTGGCAGACGAGATGGGGATGGGAAAGACTCTCTCTGTACTAGCACTTGTACTACGGACGCTAAACACTGCGCACGATTGGGCTATCCGCATCGATGATCTGAACGATGCGACTTCGGAAATACCAAAGAAGAGACGCCGCTCTGGAGCGACCCTGATCGTTGCATCATCAGACCGTGAGTATACCATCGTTGCGATACACGCTAGTGCTCTTGTGCTAACGGCGCAGTCATGATCAATGAATGGTTTCAGGAACTAGATAAGTAAGTCACACAGATCGTTGCATACTCTCCAGCTGCTCACCTTGAAAGGCATTTTGAAGAGCCTACTCGTAAAGCCTTGAAAGCGATCAAGTATCATGGCCCTCATCGACACGTTTCCCTGGAGAGGCTCATGGAGGCAGACCTTGTCATCACTACCTATCATACACTCGCGTCAGATTTTGCCAGGACCAAGCACGAGTTGAGGCATATTGAATGGTATCGTCTTGTCATTGATGAAGGTGAGTAAGTTATCGAACGTTGGCCGCTCACCATTGACGATTATCTCGCAGCCCACATTATACGACGGCAATCCACCATCTTGTACCGGACTGTAGCTGACATCGCGGCCCGATCGAGGTGGTGTCTGACTGGCACGCCTATACAAAATCGCCTGGAGGACATTGGCTCCTTGTTCGCCTTCTTGAGGGTCACTCCGTTTCACAGCTTGTCGAACTTCCGAAAGACTATTGCTATACCTTTTGATGAGGGCGGTAAGAGACGTACTATTGCGATTGAGCGCTTCACTCGTCTTCTGGACTCCATGTGCTTACGCAGAACCAAAGATGTCCTGCACTTGCCTGCTGAGCAGCATCGAGTGAGAGAGGTACCGTTCTCATCAGAAGAGCGATTGCAATACGAGCAGACCAAAGAGATCATGTTCCGAGCTGTCCGCAACCAGAATGGCACGTTCGATCAAAAGAGTACGCTGGGCATGTTCCAGGTACAGCTTCAACTACGGATTCTCTGCAACCATGGTACTTGGCAGCAACCCTTCTCGTGGAATCGCCGCAAACTGCATTTACTGGATGAGAGGGAGGCCATGGAGATCTCCCTGGGGCGAGACGGCGAGATCACGTGCTCAGTATGCCGGCAACCCATGCCCGCCTTCAATAGCGGCTCCATGTTCCATCGCTATACCGAGAATTGCCGGCATGTGTTGTGCTCTCAATGCCTTATCCAGAGCACGCCTAGTGGCCACGACGAGATACCCAGCAAATGCCCGCTATGCCAGCCCCTGTGGAATATGTCCACCGAAGCACATCATTTCATGGACGCATCACATGAAGATACCTACTTTCGAGCGAATGGACGGTCTTCGAAGATGGAAGTCTTGATGAACGACGTTTCCGTCGATATATGGACTACGAAAAGGTATGCCCGATGGGATTACGCATATGAAAGGCAAGATTGACAAGCTCGCAGCATTATATTCACTTGTTGGACGCGCACCTTGAACTTGCTAGAGAGCTATCTCCGTTACATGTCAAATAACACGTGGACCCATGAGCGTATCGACGGCGAATGCTCAACGACCAAACGCGAACGTATCTTGCATCAATTCACGGAGGACCCCAATCTGCGAGTACTGATCATGACCACCGGCACCGGCGCGGTAGGGTAAGTCGGCCACATACTCACCATTGACTGCTCTCGCTGATGACATATACTAGGCTCAATCTCGCGACCGCCAACCGCGTTTTCATCGTCGAGCCCCAATGGAATCCTTCAGTCGAAAACCAAGCTGTCGCACGAGCCCTGCGTCTTGGACAAAAGCAAGCAGTGTTGGTCACGCGTTACGTTGTGGAACAGACGGTAGAGCAGGTAAGCATAGCAAACTACCGAATTGATCGCTTGTTGTTGACTCCAGCAGGACATGCGCGCATTGCAGGACACCAAATTGGAAAGAGCCAATCTCATTCAAAGTGGCTGAGTGATGTGTGCCGGGCGTGTCACCATGGTCGCTTCCGCGCCTCTTGCACCCCCTTGGCACGAGTTCCAGGCACCATACCGTAGATGCAGTGGATGTACTAGTGATGAATCAACAGATCACTTGACTGCATACTCGGCGGATTATTCTGCAACGGTCGAAAGCGCGATGACATTCTTAGCGAGTGATCCCCGTGTGCCAACGGACCAGGCGTTGAAATGACCGGCAATTGACAGAAGCTTGTTTTCTTCTCGCAGATGCGCGCTTCATATTCTGAGCATGTCAGCCTGCCACAATGCCTCGTATACCCTTGTGCGCCTGCAAGCCACTGTGTGTGGCACGATAAACCGGTGAGCGATCCGCTCACATGTGTATGACGAGTCCCAGGAGCTGACATGGCCTTCACCGGTGCCTGCTGCACCACCGGTCCTTCTTGTGTGTCATTCATGTGGAAGCATTGGATGACCTAGTGGTGGGGAAACAGCACCGGTCGGGATGCAGGCATCAACCACTCGTCCACGCTAAAAATTGCAGTGCAGCGGCCTCAGGGCAGAGAATATATCATGTATGTTCGACATCCCCCAAGTCCAAAAAGCGGCTGCGGATGCGTTGCGAACGTCCCTTCCAGGAATCTTAACGGTTCTGCTGCCCTGTATGGCCCGCTGCGCAAAGAAAATGCGCTGCATGTTGTCGCATCGCTATTGGCCTGTTAAGCTGCGCGAGTACATAGTCCCACGCGCTAGGGATTGCAGTGCAAATTTGGGGGCGGAACTTCGCTCAGGCGCCTTCCCACCATGCTTTCTCCCACAGCGTTGGCCGCCCGAGGCTGCTGACTAAGCTGTCACAGCCCTCGCCCGCCCATCGCTTCAATGAGAACGGTCACAGCCCTCATCCTACTGTATTCTACTTGCTTGCATGGGTCAGTTCCGATGCGCGGTCAAACAAGTTGATCTTCTCGAGAGAACCTGGTTCACAGCTACGTTCGCTGTATTCCGCGGTTGTGATGGGCTCGCAAGGCTATTTGCACATCCATGAATGGGCATCTTCTCTGGCAATGGGCAGCAGAAGGCGTGCTGACAGTGACGCTCATTTGAGAGTGGACATCTCTCTCCTTCACACGAGAGATCGCGATGCCAATCTCAGCGTTGTGAGCACACCATTACACTATCAACTCCACCCGACCACTGCTCTTCCGCGCTAGAAATTGCAGTGCAGTGTCCAGTGGACCCCAGTGTGAGCAGGGTTCCCCTTTTTCTCCATACCGCACATGCGCTTTACCTCCTCTTCCACGCTAGAGATTGCAGTGCAAAAAGTGGCGGGTCGCAGTCGACGGTGGGCGAAGCCTGGAATGCCGACTCTTGTGTGCGACAGAGATTATGGTGCGTGGACCGGTGAGCGGAGGCAGCCGTGCCGCGCCCCGCCTCAGCTGACTACACCCCACATTCGGTCATCCTCAACGCGAATGGTTACAGTGGAGACTCATCACCATAGTGGACTTACGCGTGCGTGTCCAAATCCGTTATCGAGTCAAAAGTGTCGTATACATCAGTAAACTACAATTTCGAGCTACATTCGTGGTTATTCTCCCGGTGCTACAGGCTCGACAGACGGGCTGTTCGCGTCCTGGCAAATTCTCTCGCATGGGCATCTTGCCTCTCTTCTGCGCTAGGAATTGCAGTGCACTCGTGCGGAAGTGCCATGATCCTGGCTTCCTATCCATGGATGCGCGCCCGCAGTAGAGCTTGTACGGAATTGGACAAGCACTGCAGTGCCTCCTGCAGGAGGAAGGGCTGGTAATGTGCAGAGCAACCCGGTCTGCACTGCAATTTCTGGCGCAGGAGATGGAATGCCTGACATTTGTGTATGTTCCACCTTGCACGCTAGAAAGTGCAGTGCATGTTGATAATGTCGAGGGCCGCATGATGCAGGTTAGATCCACCGACATAATTGGTCACTCTGCCCGACCAAGCACTCGTCCGTGCTAAAGATTGCAGTGCACATTTCAGCCACGACCGATTCTGTCATAGGCTCGACTATCTTACTCACGCTAACAATTGCAGTGCAACGATGAGAATAGAATCATGCCGACCCAGCGATCAAAGCCGTTCATCTGATAGGAACAACAGACCAACGTACCTACCTGTCCAGGATTTATGCTCATCTGCTAGAGTCTGACGTGTAAGAAGTCTTCAGCACACGCTCCGGTCTTGGTCAAATAGCGGCTTCCGTACCGGAACTGATTTTACAGATGCATCGCGTCGCCACGCACATTACTCCCCACATCGTCATACCCGGTAGCTCCGGCTTCCTGCCACCACGCGAGCAAGTCATGCCTTCAGAAGATCTCTGTTGCATGTCAAGAGTCAAAGTAGTGGCTTAAAACCTGTGCATTTCCATTGTACTACAGAACCTGATGAGTAGAAGACAAGCTTGACGCATCTCAGACAAAATGGCCCGGCCCAACAACTATCACATCTTCTAAAAAACGCCACACTACCGACGAAGCACAATCTATGAACACCTCACAGCACACGCTGCATCTCCAGCAACTGCGAACACACGCCCCTAATTCCTCTCGACCTCCTTCAACTGAACCCACAACGGGTCCTTCTCCCAGACGAAGAACGCCCGCTGGTTGTCCGGCCAACCGTGACTTCCGACTTGCAATTCAAGGTCGAAGTTCCAGATGAAGCGAGCAGCAATGATGCGCAGCTCGTTATAAGCCAAATTCTTGCCGATGCAATTCCGAGGGCCGAAAGAGAAGGGTTGGAAGGCAGACTTCTTGTCTACGTTGAACTGTGGGTCGTGGTAAGGATGGTCTGGGCCGAGCCAGCGTTCGGGAATGAAGGAGTCGGGCTGGACGAAGTTGTTGGGGTTGTGGTGGACGGCCCACTGGAAGATCGTGATAAGAGTCTGAGAGGTGTTGTTAGCTGTGACTGTCTATGTTTATTCGAAGTACTTCTTCTGACTGATGGATGACAGGCGAAGTGATCTGGAATGACGTACACCTTTGGGAATCCAATAGCCGTTAACGTACTCGCCAGGAGACACACGTGGAGGCGTATCCGCAACGGGCGGGTACATTCGTAAAGTCTCCTCAATGCAGGCATGCAGGTACTTGAGTTGCGCAGTAGACAACATCGTTATATCTTTCTCGTTGGCGAAGGCCGTCCGAACTTCTTGCTGGAGCCGTTCGAAAGCCTGCGGGTTCGTTGACATGAAGTAGGTAAAGCCTGAGAGTGTCGTGGCTGTCGTCTCGCTGCCAGCCACGATCAAAGCCTCGGAGTTGCCCAGGATCTCTGCATGGCTCATGCCCTTCTCGTCGTTGTTGCGAAGGATGTACGTCATGATGTCCTTCCGGCCGCCGGGTGCTGCGCCAAGTGCCAGTCTTCGCTCTACCTTCTCGTCACTCATGATCCTGTTGTTATGACGCGTTTGCATGTCCTCTTTAGAGATCATCAGCCGTAGGATCCAGCTGAGGCCAGGCATCTTCATCAACGCAACAATTTGCGCGCCAGCTCTGATGCCAGCGAATATCATGGAAACCCATGGATGGTAATCGCTGCTGTCCAGGCAGTGGAACGATTCACCCAGGGCCAAGTCGCCGATGATGTCGAAGGTGGTGAAGTTGAACCATTTGACTACGTCCGTCGGGGTGTGTTGCGCGGCGTCTTTGTGTAGGTGGGCAAAGAGCTTGTCGACGTACTCCATGATCAACGCCTCCTGACCCTTGATAGCAGCATCGGAGAAAGCATGTGCCATAACACGGCGTTGACGTCGATGGTCCTCTCTGCTGCTAGGAAAGATCGACTTGCGTGAAGTGTCTCCGCCCTGGTAAAATTCATGCCACCTGCCGAATTCGGGTCGGCCACTGCGACTTAATCCGAAAACCTCAGGCCATCCAATAGTTCCGTTGATGGATATGGAGTTGGGCGAAGTACGCACCATGTCACCGTACTTTTCATGGTACTTCAGGACCTTTTTGGCGAAAGTTCCTTGGATGCTGTTCTCAATGGCCAGAGGGATCCCGGAAACGGCGAAATGCTTCGGTCCAGGAATCTTGCGAAGGGGGTGGAAGAAGAGACGATAGATTGCAACGCCGATTGCACTGACGACACCCTGAGAAAGCGTTAGAGGGTGACTGCATCAGCGAGATGAGAACACTTACAATTTCGACTAGAAGCAGCACAGCAGCTGCAGCCTTCTGAAACGACATCGCTGTCGACAGGTTGAAGATGATACCAGATGTGGAGTGACTTCGACGGCGGCTTGGAAGACAGAAATCCTGGTCCTCGAATTCGCGACGTGAGATGTGATGCGGATATGTGTAGAATGATGGCGATACCACTCCGCACGGGAGGACGACGTTATATATGCCCTGCGGCAAAACCCCCTGGGTAGCAAGACTCTTTACCCTGTCTCTTCAACCATGGCTTCTACAGACTGTATGATGCCTGCCGACGTTTCGCTTTGACATCTTGCGTGGACCCCATCCGTACGCGAGAGGATGATCCTGTGGTGAACGACCAGGCACAACGGTCGGATCTCGAATGTTTCCGGGCGCTAGCCTCGAAGAGTGACATCTGCCAAAATCTCCGATGGGAAACGCTAGGGTCGGATCGCGACTGCTCCGGCTTCCGTCCTTATTCACGCGCCGTTGCGTCGTTGAGCGCGCATATACCGTATTGGAGGTTTTAGTGCGAGTGTTAAGCTGGGATGTAGCAGGTACGTTCTTCGTCTAGTGCTTCCAAACGGATGTCGTTGCTAGCCATCCGGTCGCGCCAAGCTTTTGGCTCGGTTCTACATACCCCACGATCGGCGTAATCTCTTGTGCCCAACGCCAAGCCGGTACGTAGGACGAACGTTATCAGCCTCCAAGGAGATGTGTTCTCTACCGCACCAAATCTGTTCCGCGCGAGGTGTTTTCAGCCTCGCAATCCACCAAGCATCCCGTCGGTCATTTTCTCAACGAAGACGTGATCTATCTGTATTGGGAAAGCAGTGCGAAAGCCCGTCGGTACGCGCAGGGTGAACTCCTTGTCGCTATGTCGCCGCATATTGGTCGAGACACCCAGAATATCGCGCACTCGCGTCTCGGAAAACAATCATTGCTCTTCCGCACGGAGGATCGCAATGCAAAGGTAGGTATTCACGTGCTCTGGCGCGTTATGGAATGCAGTGCAGACGTACTGTGCGCGCTCAAGGTTGCAGTGCCGTTGCAGTAGCTATCGGACGAAATCAGTCAGGCCAGCCGGCAGCTCCCAAGGTCCAGCTCATGCTTCTCCGCTCACGTGACTTACATGTGCTCTTCGACGCTAAGAATCGCAGTGCAGCGACACCGCGGTAAAACAGTCCATACCCGCGTCCTCCCCTCTCACACTAGAGACTGCAGCGCAACGCCAAAACCAGCACTGTATGACTTCCGAACGAGTACCATTCATCTCACACACTCCTTTTATCGACCCAGATGCCCTTTCCTGCGCCGAACGTACGATCCAGTCCATATCAAGGCAATGCTCGGGAGGCCGCTCTTTCGCATTTACCAACGCTTTCGCTGAGGACTGTAGTACATAGCAGTCAAGCCGCGCTGATGATGATGCACATCTTGTTGATGTGGGAAGGTGTGGGCTCCTCCTACAAGATGGGTATTCGTTCACGCTAGAGATTGCAGTGCAAGAGCCCAAGCCAACGTGGTCTGTAGTTCCAGCATGCTGGAATATACCGTAGGTCTGGACTAATCGCAGCCTTATCGTAACCAACTGCCCTTTTCTTCAACACCGATAGTCGTGGCTGCAGAGACGCGCTACGTTGAACAGCCGATTCGTCATCGTCATACTTCGTATATGGTTTCGTCCGTGCTAAGAAATGCAGTGCAACGCCCACCCTTGAAGGAATCCCTGACCGGTTTGAGGGCCTTTGCGAAGGACTTCCACTTGCGGAGCTGACATTGGTGGGGATGCGCAGGCTGCGCGCAGAGACCATAGTGGCTGAGCGTCCCCCCGCAGGACATTCACCAGTGTCACAGCAGCCAATCAAGCGAACCTTTCTACCACCACGTACACTCGTACGCGCTAGTCATTGCAGTGCAGTCACATTCGTATGGCCCAGGCCCCAAGGGATACGCATCCTACGTGCCGAGACGGTGGTGGCTGAGCGTTCCGCTGGAGGACGTTCACCGGTGATGCAACATGGCAGCCAATCAAGCGTATCTCTTTCGTCTACCTACGCTCGTCTGCGCTAGAGATTGCAGTGCAGGCTTATCCTCAGGCAAGTAACCTTCGTTTCTAGCTCAACAGCAACCGATACATCCAGATGTGCTCGTTCGCACTAGATGTTACATTATATCTGCCTTTGATGCCTCATAACGTTTAGCTACCTCATACGTCCTCCTTGTCTAAGCTAGAAACGCAGTGCAAGTAAGAAGTCCAGTCCAAGTTTGATGTCTGCGCCTTGCCTCTTATCAGGTGCTTCTTCGCGCTAAAGATTGCAGTGCAGAATGCACGCCTGGAGTTGTTCTAGCTGTGGCTAACGGGCCACCTCCTTACACACTCACTTATATGCGCTAGAGATTGCAGTGCAGCGTGCCCAAGATGACAGCAGGCTGAAGCAATTTGTGCCCAAAAGAGCGCGCCTCATTCTGGAAGCGAGAGTCCTCCATCGTGCTGCCCCCCAGGCTGTTCTCATCCTAGGGACCTATGGCAAGAGGAGTGTGATTGGCGTTGTACGGCCAGTGGCTGTGGCGAGGCACGTTGGTCGAGAAATGCAGCAATCCCTGTACTTGCGTCTCGTTAAGTGCTCTTTCGCACTAGAAATTGCAGTGCAGGCGCCCCGCCACCCCCGAATGAGCGTTAGACTATTGCTGCCTGGTCACCTCCTCATATGTACTCGCGTGCGCTAGAAATTGCCGTCCACACCTGTCAGGTCCTCTCGCACGTCAGAACGATTCCGGATCTGGTTAGCGACTACTTCCGCATGCCTCTTCTTCTGCGCTAAAGATTGCAGTGCAGTTAGCTGGAGTGCAATGATGCAACTGCTTCCTAATCTGGGTACTCTGACCTATATCGCGTCCCCCAGGGGTGCATACGTGAGGCCACGATTGGGCGCCTTCCGGCTGTGGCATTGAAACGACTGTTGATGTCGCATGCGATCAAATGCGCGGCTGAAGTATAGTTAGAGCCCTGGGGTTCACGCAACCCACGCGCCGGAGACAACACTAACGCAACTTCCACAGGACGTTCACCAACCATACGGCTCAGCAACTCATCAAGCGCAACTGTCTTCTTCAGTCCACACAGAGTCTTGGAGTACTCTCACAGACCGAAGTCACCGCTCCACGATGGCCGATGTCTAATCACAGGAGGCGTAAGCTGACCCCTCGTCCAGGCTAGAGATTGCAGTGCACACCAGTCAGAACTGGCCTCGCGTCAGGTACTCTGCTAGCGTCCCCTCAAGTGCGCCTCCGCGCTAAAGATTGCAGTGCAGCGTTAATCGGGCTTCAGGCTAATCTTCACCTGAGTGCATGCGGGCTCTTGTACGCCGGGAGTTGCAGTGCGGCCTGTCAGATCAAAGATCCTGTGTTGGACCTATCACGAGCTTGCTAGGCCTAGCCATGTTACGACCTCGTCAACGCTAGAGATTGCAGTGCAATGGCAGGCACAGCCAGGTACGAAGTCTCCCACGCTAGAGATTGCAGTGCAAAAGCCCCCCGATACCCCCGGTCCCTCACCCGTGGACCCGTGGGCGCTAAGAAATACAATGTACACCAGTAGGAGAACAGCGTTACCCGCTTTAAGCCACCTTGCTAGGCCAGGCTATGCTACGATGTCTTCCACGCTAAAGATTGCAGTGCACGAGAAGGCTGAGTTCGCAACGTGCATGTAGGATCATCTTGAAGATTTGTGACTTCCCTGTTAGAAATTGTAAAATATGAACCTCTTCACGACGCTCACTAGTAGTACGAGTTAGTAGTTTGTTAAGCGCAACCCATTCTGAACGCCTAAGCAGGGTTCAATAGCAGAAAAGGTCGCCGTCGCTGCTCTTAGGTGGCTAACCAGAAGAAGCACGGCCTGAGCCTTCGTCCACGCTAGAGATTGCAGTGCACACCAGTCAGACGAAAGATCTCACTCCCCGATTGGCCAGCAACTTTTAGCTTACATCCAGGCACACGGCTCGTTCGCGCTAGACATTGCAGTGCAATCAGTTGCTCGGGTGGTGGCTGCATATGCAAAGACCTCGGGAGTCTATTAACGGTCAGCCAGAGGTGCTCATCGTCACGTCTCATCCACAAATTCGATCATACCATTTAAGTTCTGCGTGTGCACACACAGGAAACAAGGTCAAGAGGTTCATCTTCCATGGTAGTAAAGTGTTGATCATTCATGGATGCGCATATACTACGAGTGCCGTTGATGCACCCCATGTAGGCCCATTCAGCCTCACGACTTCTCCCATGCAGATAACGTCAGCTCAAACATCCGATGCTAAACCCCGAAGATGCTCACCAGTCCAAAACCCGTCATCCCAGGCATCGCCAAACGCCGAACCACAAAACCATGATACCCTTCCTCGCACCCTTCAGTGGACAAAGTTCGCAGCGTCGCAAAACATACGCCACCAACCAAGATCATCAGGAAAGCGCCTAGACCTCTTCCTCAACGAGCTCCTCAACAACGACACCCTCCTCATCAACAGGCTCCTCTTTAACCCGCTTAGCCATCGGAACGTAGTCATCTTCAACCTCGCCCTCCTCGTCCTCCTTGTCGCTTGTCTCATCATAAGTGGGCTTACGCTTGCCGTTAAGCGTGCGCTTACCGCGGGCAGCAGACGGAGAAAGGACCTCGTCATCATCCATAAGACCTTGGGGACCATCGCTGTCAGCGTCTTCGGAGACGGCTTTCTTCTTGCGCGGGGCAACCTTGGCCTTGGAACGAGGTGTCTTGGGTGTGGAAGTGGCGCGAGTTGGCGAGGCGACGGCGTGGGTTGTGCCGCCCTTGCGGATGTTGGTGAGGCGGTGGGATACGGCCTTGGGGGTGCAGTCTGAAGGTTGAATGTCAGCGAATGGAAGCGGAAGTGCTGCGAAGAAAGAGTCGGGGGTGTGATTGAGTGCGGACATGGGCATTGGGATAGCACTCAAGAGCCGGGATGTACTTACCACCACCAATCTCCTCGGACAGGTACTTGAGAAGCGGCGCGCTGCTCTTGATGTCATGGAACTTAAAGATGCCCTTGAGGATCTAGCAGTCTGGTCAGCAGCTGAGACGAAGTGAATGGTACGCCAACGGCACGCAAGATGAACTTACGATCTGATCCTTATCCGCGGTCCAGTTAACCATCTTGACGGTAGTGCTGGAGGTTGGTCTACGGTACCAGTCAGTAAATGTACAATGCCATGAGCCAAGTGAACTTACTTTGTGGTGTTTTGTTTGTAAGATGATAGCGAAGCTGAGTGCTATGCGAGAGCAAAGACTGGAGAAAGGCTTGATGAAGACGCGGTGTGGGCGATTGACAGTGCGAGATGGGGATGGGAAGGAAGAGAAGGAAGGAAAGTGGGAGAGCGGGGTTTTATATCTTACTGGCGGGTCTGGGAGGTCAGATCTTCCGACGAGGTGAAGGTGAGAGACTGGCACTTTTATGGCAGTGGAGATGGCGCTAGCAGCTCGCTTGATGATAAGGCGTGGTGGTGGAAGCGAGGTGAAGGTGGATTTGAACAACATGGGCCGCTGGACAGTACTTAGAGGAGCGAGGAATACATTGGTCTGGCGAAGATCAGTGAGTGAGCCGCGCGTGTTGGGGGTACTTGACATTGATAGCAGTTGGCCAGTCATCTTCACTGCCATAAAGCTGCCAATATCTCCCTGTTAGTTTATCTACTCCCCTCTAACTAGGCCCTTGTTGCAAGCACAAAGACACAGACACAGGCCCAACATTTCGTGCTGTTTTTCTTCGATATGGAAGGAGGTGCAAAACCAAAATGTCAAGGTACCGAATACTCTCAAGAATGAGATACTGTTACAGGTCATTTCACAATCCCAACCCCAGCAGCCATTCATGAAGTTCCTGCCGACTCAGCTCCTAAGCCGTCGGATCAACAAACTGTCTCTGCCCATCCTGCTCGTCACCATCCTCCACATCATCTCCAGCAGCTTCAGCATCGTCGTCCTTCGCCCCTCCAACACCCAGCCCCGCACTCTCCTGCTCCACAGTCCCTCTCTTCTTGTGATGCCACTCTTTCCACATATCCGACACCATCTTCTGGTTCTTCTTGTTGTTGACATAGATCTTCAACTCCTTAGGTATCGGGTACATCTTATCCATGAAGTCCTGCTTGTCGAGCTGCTTCTCCGTCATCGTGACTCTCTTCTGCGCGGTCTCGGCTTCCCGGACGAAGTACTTGGCCCAGCGGAGTTCATACTGGAAAACCGTCTCGCGTCGCCAAGGAGTGCGGTTCTTGGTTCCGGCCTGGCTACCGGCTGGGAGCTCTTCTTCTTCGGCTTTGGAGTCGTCCAGGACTAAGCGGCAGAGACTGGGGAGGGGGATGTCCGCGGATTCTTGGTGGGCGCGCTCGAGCCAGAGTTTGCGCAGACGGTGGACGGTGTTTTCGTATGCAAGTTGCGGCAGTAGACCGCATGGTGGTAAATCTTTGCTGAAGAGAATGGGCACTGGGCGGTCAGCTAACCACCTTGAATGGCGTGCGTCGGGGCTTGCTATCACCTATCACGGGACTGATGTTCGTGAAGTTGAAAGACCTACTGTTGGGTAATAGCGCAAGCTCTTCCTCAGAAAGCGGTTTGTTGCTCTGATCGTCAGGCTTGCCATGGCCGTCTAAACCGAGTCCAGCAATGTCGTCGGACACATCGGTCCATTCATCTTCTTCTTGAACATGTATTAGCGCTTGGCATTAGGCGTAAACCTTCCGGAGGTCTTGGCATACCCTGCATCTCTGTTGTTTGGCCTGTCGGTGGAGCTGACATGTGGCTAGGTTCAAAGGGCAGCCGGGGCATGTGTAGCGAGCGATGATATTGGCAGCTGAAGATGACCTCGCCGAATCGATTGCGCGCACAATAAGGAATTAGAAATTAGAAGATGGGTGTTGCGCGATGATGTTGCAGCGGGAGTGCAGGCTTTGGCGATCAAGCAAATAGAACGCCAGCGTCCGCGCCTGCTGCCCAAACACAGGTAGTGCAGGGCAAGAGCTCATGACGTCAGCGCGTGACTAGACCCTGGAAATTATACAAAATCACGGGATGTCGAGATTGGGCCAGGACGTTTTGACAGGTGAGACACATGAACATGATGAGAAGGTAGTACTACACCATTGTCGCAAACCAGAGAATGTCTTGTTAGTTCATTGATTGCGACATCTGTCACACAACCTCAACCACGCAGTAACCAAGTCCATGCTCATCTACAACGCTTTGCCCATGAACTTCCTCTTCGTGTAGCTGAGCCACCACTTGCTGGGTGTGTTTGTCTCGTCCGCGTATACCCTGTTCAGTAACCGTGTTGCTAGCTCTTGTCGCATCTGCATGATGTACTGTCGCAGCACTTCAGCTCCGTTCCTGTCCGCTGGCGCCTCGAAGGCCTGGTTAAGCGGGAAGCCTGCGTCACCTGGAATCGCAAAGTTGGTGTCCAGCGCAATGTTCATAACAGCCTGCCACATTGTCAGCTTCCAGCGTCCACCTTCTTCATCCGTCCACCCGACAGCATACCTTCTCGGCTTCTCTCCGACTCATGCCCGGCTTGATCTTTCCCAGTACCTCGCTAACGTATAGGATGCCATAGATGAGGACACGGTCGGCGGGGCCCTTGATCTCGAAGTTGCGGAAGAATGTGTTGGCGCGGAAGAGGGCAAGGATCTCGTCTAGCGGATCGTACGACTCGTGTGAGGCATCGATGGTGAGCTCTGTGACATCGGCAGGTAGAGCTGGCAGCTGGATGGCAGGGCCGCGGGTGCGTGTGCGGAGTGGAAGGAGAGCGAAGTTGCCTGGTGCGCCCGTCAGTCGTTTTCGCTTATGGTGAGGCTGGAGAGTATAGCTGTACCAATCAATTGCTGATTGGGCTCATCGAGGAAGACGGAGTGGTAGGCCTAGGTGGGTCAGCTGCTGCTCTAGATGTCTGAACATGCCTTGAGGCATCTATGTGAAGAATAAATGTTCTAACTGACCGGCATCTTGGGTGTTGTCGCCTAGCTTGTTGGTGTCTGGCGGTGTTCTGGGAGCTCGGCGGAGGTGACGGCGCAGCTCCGCTTCGTGAGGTGTGCTGGTAGGGCTGAGCAGCGGGGGGTGACTAAGCCGCCCCATCAACGCGTCCCTGCGCGCGGCGCGTCTCCCTCGATTTTCGATTAACAGCCTCCATACCGCCAATCAACGTTCTAGCGACGTCAATTCGACCTCAATACGTACCGAGGATCTCTGCATCTTCATTACAGCTATCGCAATGTCCGACTACGAAGATGAGATGGACGTGGATGCGCCCGCAGTAGACAACTCGATCACTTTTGGCGGAGACCAAAAGAAGGGCAAGAGGAGCGCCGCAAATCTACCCGTTGAAGCTGAGGATTCCCTACCATGGTGAGCTCAACTCATTTTCGTCTTTTGCACACCTGCTGAACGTCAGATAGGGTGGAGAAGTACCGACCAAACTCCCTCGATGACGTCGAAGGCCACAAGGACATAATAGCGACCATCAACAAGTTTGTAGACTCAAATGTATGTCAGAACTCGCTTCCAAGATTCACAGCTAACATGTCCAGCGACTACCTCATCTCCTCCTCTACGGCCCTCCAGGTACCGGAAAGACATCGACCGTCCTCGCACTCGCACGCCGCATATACGGAAATAAGAACATGCGACAGATGGTCTTGGAATTGAACGCCTCAGACGACAGAGGTATCGATGTCGTGCGGGAGCAGATCAAGACGTTCAGTAGCACAAAGCAGATCTTCTCTGCGGCACCCAAGGCAGGAGACTCATCACTGGCAACGTTCAAGCTCATTATCCTCGACGAAGCCGATGCCATGACTGCGACCGCGCAGATGGCCCTGCGACGAATCATGGAGAAGTACACCGCGAACACTCGCTTCTGTATCATCGCCAACTACACACACAAGCTCTCGCCAGCCTTATTATCACGATGCACGAGGTTCCGATTCTCCCCGCTGAAGGATCAGGACATTAGGAACTTGGTCGACAAGGTCATTGAGGAGGAGAAGGTCAACATCACGCAAGACGCAACCGACTCACTCGTCACGCTCAGCAAAGGAGACATGAGACGGGCACTTAACGTACTACAGGCCTGTCACGCATCAAGCACGCCGCTTCAGACACCCGGCAAGCCCGCACCTGACCCATCCATAATCATACGCGACGAGATCACGCAGACTACCATCTACGACTGCATAGCAGCACCCCATCCGTCGGATATCAAGTACATCATCGAGACGTTACTATCGAAAAACGACATGACAGAGTGCTTGCGCACGGTCAATAACCTGAAGATCATGAAGGGACTCGCGCTGGCAGATATCCTGACGGCGATCAGCGAGGAGCTAGTCAGTAACGACGTGCCGCCGCAGGTCATGGTGACTTGGATGGCCGGTCTGGCAGATATCGAGTATAGGTTAAGCGGAGGTGGCAACGAAGCCATACAGACGGGCGCAGCGATCGGCGTTGTGAGGACAGGTGTGGAACTGTTGGAGACTGGAAAGAAGTAGTACGTTCGCGACACTAGTTGTGGAAGGAGGACTAGAGCGAATTGCTAGAAATGATACCATTGGAATGCGCAAAAGCAATGCGACAAGACTACATCCGTACCACCCAAAGATCGCAGCCGTGATGATACACTACAAGAAAGTGGGGCGTTGTGTCTCAGGATACTCAAGATCACCGTGGTGATAGGACAAGAGTCGTGTTTTGCGCTAACCACGCTAGTCAACACCCACGCGACTCGGACGCGCCTTCCGATAGACGTACCCCGGGATATATACACCACGCATCAACAATCAACACAGTTATCTTAGTCGCGTTCCTCCGAGTTGAAGATATTTCCATCCCCGCTTCCTATACGAAACACGTTCGACCACCTTGGTATATTGAATATCTCATACGCGCGACGCGCATGCATACTCCGATCATGCCTGTAAAGGTAAGTCAACTTGCGCGACGAATGATCAAGGGCTGACATCAAACAGAGAAGAGAAGGCCCAACAAAGCAGCGGCAAGTCAGTCTGCGCAGAAGTCGAAGCATCGATGCACTTGCTCTTCCTGTGATTACAGAAACGACCAAGTTACAAGAGCGTCGAGCAATCGAGGGAAAGAGCAAGCGGCCGCCTAGGTGGCGAGGGCCTGTAAGTATTATATATACATGGCGCAAAGTCACCCAGGCTTATATCCCCGCAGCAGCAAAACAACTCGCCCTTATCTCACAGGCCAGCGCCGACCATGCCTTCGCAAAGAGAGTCGATACCGGCACGTGATCTTAAGAGCAGTCAAGAGAGCCAGCCACCACCATCATCAAACATCCAACTCCGCTTCTCCTTTTCTGAATCCTTCATCGACGATGTCGAGCGACAAGTCCGTTCCGAGAACAACTTCAACCAAAGTTTCTCGGGGCTGACCATGACGCCCGGTGCCAGCTTCTCCTCCTCGAGTTCACAGTCTACCACCAAGGCATCTCCGGTCCAACCAATCCAACCGCAAACGTCTATCTACCACCAACCCCCGGTGTTGATCAAACCGGGTAAGAAAAGAGAAGGCTATGGATTCAGCTACTCAGAGACGTTCATGTACGATTCAGACGACTACCCAGACACGGAGTGCGGGGACGCTGACGACCATTCGTCTGAACTACACACCACGAGGTCTCTGGATAGCAATCCGTATCTGAACTGGGACGGTGCGATAGGATCACAACAATCACAACATATGCAACAGACTCACCTCTCCCAACTATCACAGTCCTCAACAAGGCCAACATCACGAGACTCCACAGCAACAATCCCAACACCCACCACCTCCTTCGACGACCTCGTCGTCCTCCGCCCCCCAGGTTCCTTCCACCTCGCCCGCCCACAACGCCATCTCCCCTGCACAACCGCAACACGCGAAGACGCCCTCGCCCTCCGCGCGTCTGCCACTTTACTCCTCTCAAAATACACAGAGTCTGCATCTATCCAACTCGCGCTCCTGACACGGATGGAGCGGATGATGTATCTTGAGCAGCAAAAGCCTGGTGCGACGGAAGATAGCGTAGCAGAGAGTTTAGAAGCCTGTGTGAGGAGGCTGAGGGACTGGCTTGTGAAGAGTAAGGAGGAGCGGATTGAGACGGGGGAGTGGAGAGGCGTGGTGGAACATGAGATTGAGTGGGTGGAGTGGATGGTGAGGGCGGCGGAGAGGGGGGTATTGCATGTTAGGCGGAGAGGGTGTCGGTGTCGGCCGGAGTGGGAGAGGCTGTGAGGTTGGGAGTAAGCGTGGGGGTGGGATGGCGCAGGATATAATCCATGTCGTTATCACACGCGATTAATCTTTTGCACTGCAATCTTTAGCGCGAATGAGCAAACGTGTAAGAGAAGTAGCCAAATCCTTGGTATGTTATTCGTGCCACATACTCGGCACGATATGTTGTTTCATCCCGAGTGCACTGCAATCTTTAGCGTGGACGAGCATGTACGTGGGGAAGCTAGCCAACCCTGCTGCTCTCTCTCAGGATGTAACCACATGGTGCAGAGTTTTCCAGGTGCACTGCAATCTCTAGCGTGGAAGAGAAGGTATGTAACTGAAGTAGCCAGCCATACAGCTCTCTAAGGATTCGATGGCTGTCAAAAGGCTTGCGTAGAGCACCGTAAGTGGTTGTGATCATAAGCCACATGCACGTTCAGACCGGGTTGTCTTAGTGACCGGTCAGCATTCGTGGACAGGTGAAACCCAGGAGAGTGGAACATCCCACGAAATGTCACGCTGCACTGCAATGTTTAGCGTGAAAGACAACGTCCCAGGTCGCATGATGGCTGAATGGAGAGGAGTAAGGCGGCTGTACTGCAATCCCTAGCGCAAAGGAGCGGATATGTATGTCGCAGAAGCGGCGAATAACCCACATTCTTCTTGCACAGCCCGGTTACGCATCGCCACAAGCCACACGGGTTCAGGGCACATCGGCTTCGGGAATCATTGGCGTAAAGGGCAGCGCAGAAATGGTAGCTGGACTACTACGCACCGCAGCCTACCGGTAAAGCTGAGAATAGGGAACTCCTTGCCAACTTTGGAAGTCACTGGAGCTCTTATTAGCCGTTGTGGACCTTGGATAAGCCTGCACTGCAATCTCTAGTGTGGAAGAGCGGGCATGGTTGTCGAAGCAGCCAATAATCTACATACTTTGCACAGCCCTGGTACGCATCACTGCAAGCCACAGCAGTTCTTCCGTACGGACTGCACTGCAATCTCTAGCGTGGGAGAGGTCGTCTCGTTCGCGTGCGTACCCATATCGAAACGGCGCTCGGAACATCGAAAGGCACGCACAAACTTCCAAGGTTGTGTGCTATCCAGCAATTTCCAGGAGTTCGGTTCATTCGCTTAAAGTGACAGATATCGCATGTCAAGGTTGCAGTGTGACTCAAAGGCGCACTCTATTTGTTCTGCATTCTGTTTTCACCCCATGCCGTCACTGCACTGCAATCTTTAGCGTGAAGGAACAGGTATGGATGCCAGGGAAGTAGCCAGAACAACAAAGACAGCCAGTAAGACGTGACTTCCGCATAGCCCCGTCGTGCGATGTAACGACCCTCGCGGGTTGGATTCGGGAGTAACCCGCGACACGGTACCTGGAAAAGGTACTAATACCAATTCAACGACTTTTAAGCAAATACAGACATGCACTGCAATCTCTAGCCTGGACGAGGCCTTTCCACCACGTGCGTACTAACAATGAGAGCGCTCTCAGGTTCCACAATCGAGATACAGTTGTTCGTGCTATCCGAGTTCCCGCGGAGGTCCGTTCAGATGCGTGATGTGGCAGGTGTGATGTCTTTTGGTGTACGACATGCTCGGGAACATTTCGAGAAGCCGTTCGGTCCCACCCGAGCACGGCATCTACTTACGAGCCACGTTGGTTCATACCACATCGGATTCGGGAACCACTGGTATGGAGGGGCGCGCAGAGATCGTGGCTGGACAACCATGCACTGCCCACCGGTGAAGCTGAGACAGGGGTCGATATTACCAAGTAGATAGGGCTCTCATTGGTCGTTGTAGATGCGGCTCTGGGCTTCTAAAAGTTTGCCTCCTTTTGTGTATCACAAGGAGGCAGACAACTGCACTGCAATCTTTAGCGCGAAGGAGCAAGTATCTTTGCCAAGGAAGCCATGAACGCAGGGCGTTCGCGCAAGCCCGTTACGCATCGCTCGGCACTCGTGCACAGTTCGTCATGCGTCTGCCAGGCTGCAGAATACTTCTATGGAATTCCTGCCTTAGACCAGCGTCTCAATTGTAGAGGAGCTGACTCCCCAGGAAACAGAGAGCGGCGGTGACCCGACCTCGGGAACGTCTGGATCGTAGCGCCTGCACTGCAATCTCTAGCGTGGAAGACGTCGTCCCAGGCCGCGCGATGTCTTGGCTGCAGAAGGTGGCAACTAGCTGAGCCTGCCCCCAATGTACACAACCAAGGTTCCCTCGCGCAAAGACCCCTCGGGCTCGAGCGCGAAAGACAGATGAGAAGCTGAGCCTGCACTGCAATATCTAGCGTAGGAGAGACCATCTCACCGTGTACCAAGACCAAACTGGCTTCCGGAACGTCTAAAGATACTGAAACGTCTTTGGCTAACCAGCTCTTCGCAAAGGTCTTTTCCTATGCGCAACGTAGTAATTGCGACATGTGTGATATCATGTCCAATGCTTAGCTACATAGCATGCTCGGAAATGTTTCCGAAAGCTGGTCAGACCTTTCCGAGCGTGACCGTGTACTTCAACACCAGTCTTCAACCACGTTCAGCCATCCATGACTTAGCTGGCTACCATGATCAGTGCAACGAGGTCCTTTGCGAATTCAGCTCTCGTACGCCGCCTGCACATCCCTGCTACTTGCCGCTCTATGTACACCACATCCGCGCCACACGTAGCAGTCCTATACCAAGAACTTCCACCCCCCTTAATCAACGGAGTGCGCAAGCCCAAGAAGCCCGGAGGTGCGCAGCCTAGCTTCTTCCACCATCCTCTCCACAACAAGATTAACATTACAACCAAGGCTACATCGACTCCAGCGCAGACATCGCCCACGCACTAACCCACCACAGCCCCGTCTCCGTCATCACACCCGTCTCAACTCCAGACCCACGCAATGATGCAGACTGGTGCTTCGGCGATTCTGAGGCTGGGATTGCGCGTGCGCTGGAGAAGGGGGCAACACATCTCTGGGCTAACACTATACTCTTCGCGGAGCATCCGCTTCAGACCGCAGATAGTCTGACGGGTGTGGCGCAGACGGTGAGGGTTGTAGGACAGCCTCCGAAGCTGGTGCAGCTGTGCGATGACAAGGCGTTCGTCAACAATCTTCTTCGTTCTCGCGGTGGTTTTACGCTGCCGGATGCACACGACGTTCAAGACGAAGAAGACCTCGCGGATGTGCTCCAGACAGATCTTCGCTATCCTATTGTCGCTAAGCCGGTTAGAGGACGAGGGAGTTATGGAGTGAGAGTTTGTCGCTCCGAAGAGGAACTGATCGAACATTGCCGCGATTTACTAAGAGAAGATGCGTCCGTGATCGTCGAAGACTTTCTTGCGGGGCAGGAAGTCACTGTTACTGTGATGCCGCCTTCGCCTGCGACGGGACAGGATGATTATTGGGCGATGCCGGTTGTGGAACGGTTTAATCATGCTGATGGTGGGTTGGCCGCGTGGACTTGGAGAAGTGTATGCGATGTTCACTAACTACTCGCAGGTGTAGCACCGTACAACGGCACAGTCGCTGTGCTTCAGAACTCTCGATGTCTTTCCGAAGACGAACACCTGGCTGATCCACACTATGGTGAGGTACAGCGACAGTGTGTTGAAGTAGCAAAGCTGCTCCAATGTACTGCTCCTATCCGAGTCGACGCTCGTCGGTTCCGAGAGGAAGAATCGTCGTCATTCGCTCTTTTCGATGTCAATATGAAACCGGTGAGTCGGGATATGCCTATCTCTAATACTAAGGTATCCTGACTGACACTTCTCCAGAACATGACAGGTCCTGGTCGGCCTGGCAGAGAGAACCAAGCTAGCCTCACGGCACTGGCTGCTGCTGGGTTGGGTTGGGATTATCCGACTCTGCTGTTGAAGATCCTTGAGTCGAGTAGTTCTCTGCATGATCTGAGAAACGCTACACCGTCGCATGTCATTGGCAAGTGGTTTGGGTAAGAGGCAAAGTGTAAACTCGAAGTTCAGCCCACGAAGTGACAACTTGTACTCTCGCCCTTCTAAAATCGTTGCTGGATTTTTAGCTTGCGCATAGAAGATAACAGGCGAATTTTCTAATTGTATTACACAATGATTATAGTTTCCAGAGCTGCATTATCAGGGAATAGCTTCTCATACGATAGATGAGGACCAGTAGGCCTGAACAAGGTCCACTCTACAGGAGTATCTCCGTCCATGAGTTCAGCATAGTGGGTTCCTTCCATGTATCCAACACGCCGATACACAGGAGAGGAACCGCAAAAGCATTCATCATCTACTAGCGATACAGGTACGACGACCAGAGCGTTGAATTTGCACATAAGATATTCACTCTTATGCTCCGTCCGAAGCGGAACCACCGTATACATGCTGTCCAGCATTGTTGAATAGTCTTGCTGTTCGTCCCAGGTTATTGTTCGGTCCCCTTTGAGAATCTTCTTAAACTGAGTCATACTATGGGGTCGAGCGCGAAGCTTCAGGGCGCCCCTCTTCAAATTGCCGTAAGGGTTTCCAGCCTGAGCTAGCAACAATGACACATCTTCCAATTCGGCAAGATTCTGTAAAGACTCTCGGGAGGCATGACTCCTGTAGTCAATTGGACCGGGAACCGATGCCCAGCTCCAAGAGGGCGCATCAGCGAGGTACGATGCTCTTAAAGTGACAGAACACGGATCTTTGGAGCGCCAGGAGAGGCATTGCCACAGGTGCGCCTCCCAAATGCCCGCGAAATATCGTTCCCCGAATTGTTCTAGTGGTACAGATTTAGCGATGGATGATAGCGCGATCAGACGGTCTGCGTGATTCGTGAAGGATGACTTCGAATAGAATTCGATGAAAGGGAGCCAATTTTTGAAGGTCATGTAACAAGCATGGTGACGTCCTTCAGGGAGGTTATCGTGGGATGGAGTCATAAGCAAATCGGATTCCAGACACTCCCGGAAAACACCCTCCTCGGTGAAATGTAGTAATCTTCGCGAGAGTAGGCGTTCCTGTGCGACCCAGCCTCGTCTATTCAAGGTGGAAGCGATAACCGATTCGCGAAACGCCGAGTCCTTTGGATAAAGGTACGAAGAGACTGTGGTTCCATCTCCGGTTTGTTGAAGTATTTCACATGGTTTCATGCAGTCAATCCCAACTTTGTGTAGAAAGCCGTCGTTGGGATCCCTGGAGCAGGTAGCAGAAATCGTGCACATAGCGTTTTGATAAACGAGCCACATACGCGGTCCTTCTACGTCCCAGTCAGCATGATTCCCATGTGCGCTTGGTTGAACTATGCACAAGGCATCAATCCACATGAAACGCATTCCTAAGCCTCGTGCAACGATAACGGCATCTTGGAACGTTTGCGGCATGCTGGCATAAGACAGTACTCGGTTCCCAGTAAAATCCTTTCTCAGCATGCAGTCCGGTGGTCCATTACCCCAGCGATAGCTTAACGTACAGTACTGGGAAAGCTCGTCGATCGTGGCGTATGCCGCAGCAATCCATGATTGCACGTTAATTGTGACAATTTCATTCTCATGAGTAAGGTCCAGTAAGCGACATGGAAGTGAAGATGCCTTGCGAGATGGATCCAAGTTCACTGGCTTACAATCAACATGTGTCTCGTTTTTGCTGAGCACACAATCTTGGAAAAGCTGACCAGCGCGCAAAACTGGGTCATGATTGGATGCGGAAGAGGAGAATGGGTCAATGGCAGCGCCGGGTCTGATGTGAAAATAAATGGTGTCGAGGTAATCGTGTAAATGTAACGAGAGTTTGTCTATGGAGTCGTGGGGCCAGTGGTTGCAATACAGAGATATCTTGTTGTGGTGTTCCTGAAGCACGAACGGGTCCCATCTGACATTGGCCATGGAGACCTTCTCTAGGTATTTCCGGATGAAGCAACACAGATCGCAACCAGTTTCAGCGCCCCTGATCAGTTCGTGTCCAGAAATCCATGTTCGAAGCTGTTGGAGGATGGTTTCCCGGTTGCACTTCGGGACCACCATCTTGCTGCACTCAGCACACCGAGGCATCGTAAACGCTCCTCCGAGGTTGTGATCCGACAGGACCGGGAAGCATGAGCGTCATGAGAAGACTGAAGACCAGAGGCACAAAGTCTCAGGACACGGGAAAGGCACCGATAGTGTCGCGATCGGATTGTGACGGAAGGCTTCAGGAGTAGACGGCGAAAAGGTCAACGAAGAAGGCTGTTGCCGCAATGACGACGTAGCGACTCTCAAAATCGAAGTCGATAGAGATGTGAGTGATGCGCAGCACGCCAGGCAGAATAGTAGAAGGCGACGAGGACATCCGTCCCTCACTCATCTGCGGGGTACACCTGCTGTGCCACCATGATGCAGAACGCGCCAAACCTGCCCAGACGCGGTGCATGACATCCAATTCCATCTGAGATTGCCGCCGCCATCAGACGTAGTCGTATCAGCGAAGGTTTGATTCGATATTAGCTCGCTGTAGGCTGACAGCTTGTGCGGGTGGTGGTGGTGGTGGTGGTGAACGAGGACAGGATCCAAGGCGCGGCTGCCTCGTTGACGCTTGTTTGGCAGTAGCAGCACCACCCGCCAAGCATTGACACGACATGACACAGATTGGAAGGCGAGCTGTCGCGATCGTTCTGGATATCATGTTTTCTAAGGCATCAAAATGTTGTGACAATGTTTCTTTACCACTACTTCCCCAAACTACCTACGCTACGCTATGCTATCCCTCTGTCTGTCTGTCTCTCTGTCCCTCCATCCTATCATACACTAGAACTTGGTATCCATACCCATAACCAATCAATAAAACCCCCTCAAATCCCCAGCCAAGAAGTCATAATACGCCATAAAAATGCTCAAACCCCCCAACCCCTCAACCAGAAACGCCCATACCCATCTCAGCAGCCACCCGTTCATCATCCTAATAAACCACAGGTTCAGCCGCAACACCCCACCTCTCACACACGCGCAGCTTGACAGCGAAGCTCTCAAACTGCCATGTCTTACTCCTCTCATCGAATGTCTGTTGAAACCTTGTGCCAGTACAGGTACCGATGGCGTAGATCCCGTCGTGCGCTTTTCGGTTATTGCAACCGTAGCAGACCTATCGTCTACGGTAGATATCCGCATCTCTTTCTCTGTTGTCTCTGTTATCGCGTCTTTGGTCCCGGCGGTCTGGACTGCGCGATCGTGTGCGTCCGTCTCGTCGTTCCCTCGCGAAACCTCTCGCGTCGTTGCGATCGGGTCGATCTCTGTACGCGCGGTTCCGGTCTGAGCGGTCATCTGTGTATCCTTCTCTCGAGTTACCCGAATCGCGGGAGCCTCGGCGAGGTCGATCGTCTGGTTCGCGGGAACGGCGGGGGCCTTCTGCGCCGTAGCTTGGTATGTATGTGTCGCCGCCCGCGGTAGCTGGTGGTTGTCTTCGGCGGTCTGCGCCATCGGGGCCGTAGCGGGGCACGGGTGGGAGGGGGTGACGGCCGTCTGCAGGAGGTGGTGGAAGACCGTTGTGGCCTCGGTCTGCGCCGTTGCCCCAGTTCGGTCGGCGATCACCGCCTGGTGGTGGGGGTGGAGGTCGGTGTTCGTAGCGGCGGTCGTAGCCTCCTCTTTGGCCTCTGTCGACGCCTGGTGGGCCGCGGTCTTGTGGGCCGCCGTATCTTCGGTCGCCGTTCTGCCATGATTGTGGTGGTGGGCCTTGGCCGGTCCATTCGCCGTTCGGTCCGCCGCCTACTGTGCCGCCTTGTGGTGCTGGTGGTAGTGCTTGCTTCTGGCCTCGCGCATTCCGTCGATCGAGCTCGTGTGAGTCTGCAAAGGTGGGGATGTCTTCTTCGCGCATGGGAAGTGGCTGCTCTCGGAAGTATGGGTGGTCGATGGCATCGATGGCGTTGATTCGTTTCCGCCAGTCGAGCCTCATGAGGTCTTTGATGAGCGATAGTCCGACGGGCGACAGTTCGCGGAACCGTTGGGCGATAGTGCCGGTGTGGACGGGGAATGCGCGTATGGGTTCGGCGCCAGGGAGATCGCGCCACCCCGGCATGCTGTCGTCGTTTGGTGACCCGACCAGCTCGAAGATGATCTGGGCTTGGTGGATGTCGCTCTGTCCTGCAAGGATGGGCTTTCGCTTGAACATCTCTCCAAACACACAGCCCGCACCCCACATGTCGATAGCCGGGGTGTACTTCCTGAGCTGCAGAAGAAGCTCTGGAGGCCGATACCATCTAGTCACAACCAATGTAGTGTATTCGCGCTTCGCCTCGCCGTTGCCCCTGCCTCGTTGTGGTACCGCCTCGTCGTAGTGTCGCGCAAGACCGAAATCCGCTATTTGTAGCCGTCCGCGGTTGTTGATGAGAAGATTGGCGGCTTTCATATCTCGATGTAGGATGTGGTTGTCGTGGAGGTATCGCAGGCCTTTGAACAGCTGCAGCATGTAGCACTTGATTTGCGCCTCCTTGAACTGGACTTCGGGGTTGTCGAGGAGACCTGATAGATCGTGGTCGGCATAGGGCGTGACCATGTACAAGATGGCGCGTTTCCTGCCCTCGGTCTTTGGTCGTTCCACGGCCATCTCTTCCAGCTTGAGGACGTTGTCGTGCGATAGCATCTTGAGCAGCTTGATTTCTCGCAGCGCCGTAATAGGAAAGCCATCCTTTTCGTTGTGCATCAAGATCTTCTTCAGCGCAAAGATACTGCCGGTCGCCTTTTGTCGCGCCATGTGGACTTCACCAAAAGTACCCTCTCCGAGCTTCTTCATCATTTCGTATTCGCCGATCTTGCTGCATCCTTTGAAGCGTCGCTGCAGGGTCTGCGATGGCGTCGCGCCTGCCGAGTTCGCCATGTCGGCGGCGGTGGTGGTGGCTTGGGTTCGCGATGGAATGTTCGCGGCTACGCTTTGTACCGGCTGCTAGTGGTCCTCGGCGCAGATGTCCGCAGGAGAGTCGGGCTATTTCTCGAAACCGGTGGCGTGATGTAGCGAGGTTTACGTGGTCGCGGTGGCATGCGCTGCCATGGATGGGAATTAGAAGGCAGAAGCTATTGTGTGTGCATGATGATAGGCGAAGACATTATCGTTGGTGAAGGAGCAAAGAACGCGATCCACGGTTGATGGCACAGCCTTGGCGCCGCACGCTAGCGTAGCCTCCGATCGACCTTAACCACACCTCCATCACGAAGACGTCAACAGGCCATTGCACCCCATAGCAACCAGGTACGATATGCTGCTACCCATGGAAGACATCTCACGATACTGACAACCTTGCAGGCTCACAGACATCATGCAACCCACACGAGCCCGCATGGGCCCGCCCAAATATGCGCCGCACCCAAACCACCCCATCCACATTCACCCGGTCCGACCGCTATACCGATTCATGGCTACTGGCCTCGGCGCATCCATGTGGTTCTTCGTATGTGGAATGAATAGGGTAAAGCTGGCATAGCGCTAACAATGGCAGTTGATGTACCGCGCGAAGAAGGACGGACCAGCGCTCCTCGGCTGGAAGCACCCATGGGACCACTGAGCTCTTGATGAGCACGGGCAGGGGTGTGAGAATCTACAAGCGTGAATTGAAGACAACATGGGGCATAGCGGATGTACATACTCTGGATGACGCAGGATGCGGAACCCAAGACCGGTAGCTGTGATATCCCGCGCAGACAGCGCCAAGAAATTCGAACTTCAAGAAGATCAATCGTAGCACTGTCATGGATAAGTGCTCATACCGGTGACCTTTTAGATGAGCATATGGAAACGGTTCAGCAAAACGTTGTAAGATCGAGCGCGTTTCTTGATTCTCTCCCGTCCCGAATGTCGATTCGTCGCGTCCGAGGCATTCGCGAACTTTTCTAATGATGCTGCGGTATCGTATCATGACTGGCGATCGGTCTTGATTTTGATATGGTTGCGATCTCCTTCTCACTCCAAGCTTGAACTGCTTGCCGCCAGTCATTTCGAAGCCACTACTTCGAGTGCACATGCATCTTGTTATCACTATACAGTGGACTGAAAAGAATGGACTTGTAACCACATGACTGCAGGTCTATCGCTCTACCCGATGCTTTGGCCTCATTTCGTAGCTATGGAAGGTAGGGAGAAGCATTTCACGCTCTGCGGCTCACCTTGCGCAGGTGCTCGGCCGTTTGCACTTTCACTACCACAAATACCTGCCACAATAGCACCTGGCCCGCAACGCGCTTTGATGGCAGTCTTGGCGACTCGAACAATGCTTTAACCCGCGCCGCCTCTGACGCTGTGAACTACCATCGCCCCTCTGCTACCCAGCTCAACACCACTGGCACAGACACACTTCTTGCACCCACGCTCCCTGAACCGTCAGCACTTCCATCGGTTGATTTCCTCCATCACAGACTTTCATCCGCTGTGCACATCATAGTCTTCGCTAGACAAATCGCTCCCCACTGGTCCTCCGTCGCCACTCCTTATTACAGACGCGTGTGCAGTCCACTATCATCACCTCCGAGCACAGACTTGTGGACAGCAGTCTTGTAAGGGCCTTGACATTACCTCAATGAGTCAAGATCTAACATCATGAAGGCCATGGACTCTGCTACCATGTTCGCTACCGGCGCATCGTATGGCTCGTCTATGGTTGGTATCGTGTCCTGACCGCTAGACTCGTGATTAACATCTCATAGCCTGCACAACCCCCGGCGAGCCATGATCTCACCCACCTCAAGGCAGCGCTCAGCGGCTTCGCCGACCTCGCCATTGACAAGAACATTGAGCGCACCACCGTCATATACGTCGTCGGCTCTACTCTTCCCAAGCGAGTCCGCAAGCTGGGCGTCAAAGACATCGGTTCATCACTGAACAGCATCTTCTGCAGGGAGAGGATTTTCCACAACGACAAGGAGGCTTTGGATTCGCTCGAGGGCATACTAAGCAAAGCCATCGACTACCACATCACCGCCACGGACATCGCGATCACCGACGATCGGTACAAGGAGTTAAGCGCTGCTATCAAGTTCGAGCTTGAACACATATCAGACAAGCAGGCTTTCTTCGCTCTGATTGATCGTTTCGTATCCAAGGTCAGTGATTGCTCGGGTGTGCCTGTGCCTGCAGCCATCCACGCTGCCAAGCGGAATGTGGCTTCGGGCTCTGTCGCTGGCCACTGGCAGACCAACACACTTCCGATGAAAACTGGCTCCAACTGGAATGTCAGCCATGAGGGCAATGCAACCACTGCAGCTGAATCGGACGACATGGACTACGACTTCGATGGTGCTCCAGATATCCACACCAATTCCGCTCCAGGATCCGGAACCTCGCCTTTTCTTGGCGCTGTCTTCACATTCCAGCCTGGTAATGCATCCCAGGAGCCGACTTCACCTGCACACACGAAGTTAGCGCCACGGCAAGGGGATCACGGCTACCTCGACGGAATCTCTTACGAGCTTCGCCAAAAAGGGCTGGAGTTCTTCCATGACGAAGTGGAAAGAATGCACTGCGAATTAAGCCCCTTCCAGGGCATGCTGCTCGATCAGGACGGGCTTTACGAGCTGACGCACGGTCTGGATGCCAAGGTTCTCCACGACATACACATGGAAGTATCATCTTGTTCTACTCCGCCGTCAGACACGTGGCTTGATGAGAAGTACAAAGACGGTGTACAGATGGAGCTCATCGCTCTGGGCGAAGCAAGCAACTTCCTAGCAAGAGTGAAAGAGGTCTTGCACTCCAGAGACGTCGAGATGGCCGACGTATCCGCTCACGATAGCTGGGCCGATCCAACGCTCAACCAAGAAGAGTTCGACGCGCTCAACCCTCTGAAAGCCCCGTCTTCGCTTCAAGGCTTATCAGTCGACAAGCGCCGACACTTTCTCTGCCGTATGCTACGCAAAGCGAAGCGCATGAACGCCAAAGCAAGATCAGCGCAGAAAGAGCGGTTACAGCCTTCAGAGATGATGGATATGGTGCATCAAGACGAACTCGCAGTCCTTCACCGCATCGACTCCGCAATGCAGGGCTCAATCTTCAAGCGAGATGATGCGGCAATCGAAAGAGCGTATGATAGCCAGTCTGAGTCTGAACTCCGTGATTGCGGCAAACTGAACTCTTTCGTAAACAAAGTGAAGGGCTACCATCGGCGTCTGAGGAACTTCATCTCGTTGGCGAAGGGCCATGTCGTTGACGCCTTCGGGTTGCGTGGAGACAGCGGCGCTGCTTATACTGCTGATGCAGAGTACCTTCCTTCCACTCCTCCACCAGTCCAAGACATCAAATGCTCATTCATCTCCGCCCTTACAGATGCCATCAAAGCCATGAACTCCAGCCTGAGCGCCACATACAATCTTGACCAACTCCTTCTCCAGCCAGCCGAGGTAGCCGATCTCGTGTCTAGACTGGAAGCTCGCATGCGGAGCGACCTTGAGCAAAAGTACATCGACACGCCTTTGACATATCGGGAGCAAGAGACTCGATATGTTCAGGCTGCGAACCACTTTCTACAATGGATACAGGATACTCACTGCTTCAGTGAGACCGTCAAGGAGTATCGTCAGTTGACATCTTGACGACATGTTCGGTGACGGTGCTACCACGATGCAAAACCCGTCGATCTTGTGTTGTGCAACTGGGATATGTTATAACTCTGGACTGAAAGTAAGCAATGCTCTGGCTCAATATTGTGTCTGGAGGCGGAGCAGCTTCCGACTATCGCCGTGTAAACGGTGCGGAGAATGTGTTTCGGATGTTCAAACAGCGAGTGGGATTGATGATCCAAGACCAAAGTGGCTTGGGTCGTTGATAACGATGCTACCTTCATCGCATTCAGGTTAGTCTGTAAGTTACCACTGTTCAACTTCACATCGCATTGGATTAACATTTGGCAGGAACAAACATTCGGACTACTAGTGCTCGCGTTTCATCACTACCAGGTGTCGATCAAGCTTTTGTTTGCTTCTATCATTCCTTCCTTCTTATATGTCATCATCATCCCATCACCTCACACTTTCAATCCCGACATACCCTTCTCAATATCCCTCTCCATCTTATCCAGCTCCACCACCATCTTCGCCCTTCCCGCAAACTCCTCCAACCCCTTCGGCGTACTGTTAGGCCCAACCTTAGCCACTGCTTTCCTATACTCCATTGTCTGCTCCCTCTTATCCTCCTCATCCCAACTATTGCCCTGCATTTTAGCGTTAACCATATCCGCCGCCTCATGCTCCATCTTCCTAGCCAGAGTGAGGAGTTGCGGTAGAGAAAGCTCTGTGAAGTCATCCCAGAAGGGAGCCACACCCGCATCCATACATGCCGCTAGTAGCTTTACTTCCATGCCACGGGCTAGTTTGGGGATCTTGACGTTGAGATCCATGAGGGTTTGAAAGAAATCGGTGATTGTCTCTGCGCGGGTTTGGTCCATGGTGAGTAAAAATCCGGTTGAGTGTGAAGGCTTTGTGAGTCTGATGATGAAGGCAAACTCTTGAAATTGTTCTCCTGGAGAGGTGAAGAAGAGAAGGGGTGAATTGGTGGTGGAACTACTGTGATCGCCTTATGAACGGTGGTACTCTGTTGCTGTGGAATGACCACAGCTATACACATTGTTTAGTCACTGTATTGCCGCTACTCAGTTGTAGTCATCGGCGCGCTCTGCTCCACCATTGTGACAACATGGTAATATACCGAATGAAAGCCATTGACTTTGTGGTGTGACAATAAGGCAGTGAAAGTGGAGTGGAGACCGAGCGAAACCATACCGAATTTGAGATCTCAATCAGGCGACCTCCAGGGGCGGTCCTTGAACGGTCCTCGTATAAGCCTTTGATAATGCATGTGGCTATATAATACTATAAGAGCAATTATACACTACCAGCATGAGTACCGAGAAGGATATCTTGCGGAGTAATTGCGGAGATCTTGCGACCGATAGGAACAACAGCATGAAGATGCGCTTCTCCGCGAGAAAGGCGCATCTGAATAAGCTCCACCTTCTCGCTATCCTCTATACGAATCATCGCCCTTCCTTTCTTCACGTCGACACAGCCCCCTCCTTAGCACACCTCCCCGTCCACTCCCTCGCCCTCTTCTCAAACACCCCCCTCTCATTCGCAAACTCATTCGCAATCCCCACCTCAACCGCACTCTCCAACTCGGGATGATCAAGCAACGTCCTCAAGCCAATCAAAACCTTCTCCATCGTATTATTATGATGCCACTCCTCGCCCAGCATCCTCCAGCTCACAACGCCCGTCCTACCGTCAACATTGGGATGGTAGATTTTAGTCGTGAAGTTGAGTTTGGGTGGCGCCTCAGGGTATTCGTCGGTGAATTGGATGTGGAAGGCGAAGGTACCGCCTTCGTAGGGGGAGGCGGAGAGGCCGTGCAGGGTGCCTGTCCATTCGAATATGTCGCCGTGTTTTAGTTCGACGGAGTAGCCGGCTGCGGGGGTCTTGCGCAGGCTTTGGTATTCTTTTTCGAGGCGTTTTTTTGTGGGCGTCATGGTTGTGAGATATTATCAGTTGAATGCCTTCCGATAATGGAGATTGACAGGATAAGCAATGAGAGTAATGCGAAATGTTATCGCGCAGCTGAAAGAGAAAGATGTTGAGGATGTTGGCTTGGTTTGGCCTACGTCATAGCGCGACTGTCGCGGTGCGCGTTGGTCCGACGCGACTTCCCATCCCTTTCTATCGACGCGCCTCACACGTTGCACTATTGGAATGCGCACGTGCGCATTGGATTGAACGCCTTATCGCAATTATACGAATGGTGTTCCTTTGTTGTGATATGCGCGAGCGCCTGCGCGCAGCAGGCTATCATACAGCTTCTCTATTGCAATCATTCTGTATAGCCTCATCAACCAGATGGAGATGCACTATGGCAGATATCTTCCGGTATATCTGCAAGCCTTGCGCTTTAAGTCCCGTCTTTCCAATCAGACGTACTCGTTCTCGCCAACCCCGTCGCGCGTCGAGGTTTGGCCAAACTCCACTCCTGCATCGAACCCGAGAGCTCCGCCATCCGCTTGCTATATGGCTTCCTTCTCGCTACCACTAGCCGCGTTCAAATCATTCCATTACCCTCATTCCGTTGCGATTCTACCCTTCCGCCTGGGTAACAGGTCTGTCTTAGAGTTTGCGCCAACGCTATCTCCGTAGCGTGCCGCGCATCCGAAGAAGAGACTCTGCACCCTATACCTCCATCGGGTCGAGAAACTTTGCAGCCTTGCCTGCGAATTCCCTAAGACCTATGGCATCGGTTCCCGGACGATACCTCGCCGTCAATCGAATGTACGCATTTTCATGGGAAACCTCGGCTTTCCCGCTATGCACGTCCATTAGCAGGCGGCGAAAAGCATCATCTTCGATTTGCTTCGCTAGCCTCATAAGCTCGTGAGTATCAAGCGGTAGGTAGTCTTTCCAGAACGGCGCTGTGCCCATGGCTTGATAGACTTCAACGAGCGCATGCTGAAGGGCTTCGTCGTGCTTGAGGTAGGATACCAAGGTGTTGGCCTCCACAAGCTTGTCGTAAAACTCGACGAGTGTGCCGCTGCGAAGATCGTTGGCGAGCTTGATGTGGTGTGGCTTAGCCGACGTGGGCTCTTTGAGGAGGGCCAAATCAGCGTCCATAAGCATGTCGCTATACGCCACGAGCGTGCCAGGTGCCATCGAGGAGGGGATTTGTGTGCGAGTTCTCGGGAAGGAGAAATCGCTGTCACTTGTCACCGGTGCATTGCCGCCACGGTCAGCGCTCGAAGACCTTGACGCGGATCGATAGCGGTATCCAGCACGGCCACGAGGAACTTTGACGAAAGCTCCTATCTGCTGAGGAGATTGCGACCGGGTGACTCTTCTACTCTGCCTCAAGGCCTCACGCACAGACCGCTGATGTCTATGGATCAGCGCGGAGAAGTTGCTGCTATACTTGAAGCTGCTCCACATCTCCTGCCGACGAGTTGAGTACTCATTGAGTATGAGCGATGGGACCGAAGCCAATTGCCTCCGTATGACCCTTCGATCTATGCCTCGAAGAATGTCGAATTCTGCGTAGCGCGCCATATTGATCAGCTGGCTCTCAGGAAGGCGGGTCCGGGATGAAGTCTGGGCTGGGTTCCTCGACTTGAGAGCGCAGTACAGGCCAACTAAAGTCTTAAAGCGAAAGTCTTCATTGATACAGAGAAGACGTGTCGATTGCTGACGTAGCGGCCGAAGTTCCCTCAACTCCTCATCCGACAGTGTGTCTTCTTCGGCTTGAGCAGCGGCCTGGGCGGAGACCGTCTCTTCGTTAAGCGTAGGCGCGCTTGGTTCTACTGGCTTTGATGACAGCGCAGCCGTGGTCGGGGAGGTATGAATAGCTGTTGCTCGAACTGGCACTTCGCTAACGGATGTGATGTTGGCATGCTGATGGGAAAGCTGAAGTTGTTACTAACGAACAGGTCAGAAATACTACGGAGCCTAACTAACCGATGCGTCTTGCTCTTCGAACACGGAGGCTACAGGCGCCACATGCACATCTTCCACATCTATCTGAGGTGTGACAAACTGAATCTGGTTAGCAAGGGGCCCTACAAGCTAGAATGACGGAGCTCTACGTCGGTCTGCGTCTCAGATGGAACATTTGTTGCAGAATCTCCACTGACTTTGAGACCACCCGTAGGGACCGTTGGAGTGTCACGATCTGGTACAGCACGTGGCGCAGCAGTTCCAGCTTGCAGTATTTGGATGAGCAGGGACTTCATCACTTGTTGCTCGGCCTTGAGCTGATCGATGCTTGTTTTGACCTCGTCAAGATCAGCCTTGGTAGCGAGTCCTCCAGTTTCATGGGCGACTGTGTCGCCGACCCTCCGTAGAGGCACGGAAGCAGTCGTAGTTGAGCGGTCGGGTGAAGAAGACATTGTGAAGCTCTTTGATGTCTTGTGGTGGTGCGAGTGGGTGGTCGTGAGATCGGAGTGAAAGATCGTGCCGAGCGCGCTCCGCTGGTAAAGACTTTGAGAAGAAGGTTGAAAGCTACAGAAGTCTGATTACAAGAGTTGAGCTCGTCGGTGGGTGTTGAGGTCGTTCATCGGGCGGCTGGCCTGCGTTTATATACTCCTAGGGAGCCGCTGAGCCCACCATGTGATGACTCCCTTCGCTCGGTGAATGACCGTGGCGCTGCTCATTGTCGTGGTCCGTGGAGACGCAGCCATGACATCTGTCGCAGATGAAGTGAATGGTATATAGGCAGAAGATCGAGAACTTTCCGATGTGTAGTGGAGACTTCGTAGCAAAGGCTGCGCCGTTGTGTCATGGTATATACTTATATCGTGCTAAAAGACGGTGCAGCTCGGGTTATTATCATGAATTCGCACTGCTATGTCGTTGTCGATATATAGAGCAGAGCATAGGTTGCGAGCTTCAATCAGTCGCTGTGGTGTATAAATTGGCCTTCCAGCCCCTCCACTAGTCGCGTAGACCCGCGCGAAGTCGAAAGGTTAGCGGTAGGGAAATCCGGGAGAAGCCATTTCTGTCTTCCATTGTTAGCGATAGAGGGGAAAGTGTAGGTAACAAGCAGCTATGCAGCAAAAGAGCTATTTATATTAGTGGTGATCAACAACCTACCCTCGCGAGTCTCCTTCACGTCGATTAAGGTGAACATTTGGTGTCGCTATTGTGTACAATAACTTTGCGACAATAGCTACCGGCCGGGTTGCACGACGTACTCACGGTCACAGCCACTTGTGCACAGACCAGACCACGCTAGGCGCCTTTCTAGAAGTGCGCGTTGTCGGCACCAGTTTACGGAAGGCTTCGCTTGGCTCAGACGTAGGTAAGTACAGTTCTACGCACCTACGAGCTGTACTTTCTGCTACTTACAGGAGATCGTGTATGTATGATCGAGGCAACGTCATTGAATTGGTAGATTGGGAAAGAGACTGGGAGGCAACGCCCGAAAACAAGATGTAGCCTGTCATACGACCAGTTTCATATTCGCTTTCCGACGGCGGAAGCATCACCAACCCTATAACCAAACTTGAGCAAGTCTTGCTCCTCTATCTGGGCTTTCTTCTCCAGTAACTCGTCAACATCCCACGTCGCACCCAGTAATCGGCCATTCAACCACATCCTCTTCTCAATGCTTAACCACACGCAAAACGCGCCACCAAGAGCAACATCATCTGTGAGATCTACAAAGTCAGCAAAACAATACCACGATTATACAGGGATGCACTCACAAGAACGGAAGCTGTCAGGCGTAGTCTTATCCGCCATCTCAGTATTCACAGCCCCAGGATGCACAGCAACCGCTAGTATACCATCCGGACCATACTGCTCTGATAAAAACTCAACAAGACGTGCCTGCGCAAATTTCGAGATGCAATACGCAGTATTCGCAATGTGTCCGTTGGTGATGCATGCTGCAAAGGAGTTGATGGCGATAAACGTCTTCGCGCCATCACTCTCCTTTAGCAGCGGAACAAAATGATGCGCAACAAGATATGTGCCTTGTACATTTACGTCGAATACATCTTGGAAATCTTGCGGATTGCCTTGGTCGACTTTCAACACTACCGGTCCTGAGTACCCCGAATTGACGATCACAACGTCCAGCCTTTCCACTTCTTCTTTCACGTTCCTCGCAAGTTGCGCAACGCTTTCGTTGGATGTTATGTCGAAATCCAGGCTCTTAATGGTTGTCGAAGAGTTGAGGGTTTGAGCTTGTTTGGCGACTGCTGCTAGCTCTTGGGCTGAAGATGACCTTGCTGCTAAGATGAGAGACGCGGCACCCGCTTGTGCATATGCGTATGCAATTCCGGCTCCAATGCCGCGAGATGCACCGATTATGAGGACGTTGAGCGGCTTTGGTAATTTGTTGGAAGCTGGGTCTAAGGCGGCGGTCGGTTTCTTATGTATCGTCTTTGTGAAACCGCTGGCGAGCGTGGTATCTCTTGTTCGTTGCGACATGGTGTTATTCTAAGCGGATCAAGGAAAAGACATCGTGGAACATGTTCGCGGCTCGTTCTCGATATAAAGGTGCGCCTTATCTGGCCCAAAGAGGGTTGGTCAAAATGAGTCATTCTGAGCCGACGCGATACATTCCAGCCTTTGCCTATCTTCATTGTTTCTCGCGCTCACATTATGCATCAAGATGGCGATGAAGTAGCGAACCGGGAATTCGCGTGACATGAGATGAGATCTTGGTACGGTCGTAGATCTGGTAGCGACCCCGCAGACCTCGCATCTTACTCAGCACAGAAAGCTTCCCAAAGCTTGACCATGCCTAAGCAACGCGCACTCTCACCCTAACAACATGGTGCTGTTAGTAATTCAGCCTCCGGAATCACTAACAACGTCGGTGAGGCGATCGAGAGCGGAGATGGGTATATGACGCGAGGCGCTAACGTAGCGCGATGGGCAAATACAGGTGGGTCCAGCCTGACGCGTCTGGGATCATGACGAACATTTCTTTTTCGAGCAATCCTGAAAACCAACATTCCATCCCACCACTCTGCAACCTCCGGGAACATCATGTACCAGTATGTGCTGCAGCAGCAAGCTTCAATTTATAAGCCCAAGTACGCCCTGTGGACGACCTCGGGACGAAAGCCATCCGGAAGCATTATTCGGATGCAGCTAGGCAATAGTAAGATACGCGAGCGAGACCTTTGACGACATTATGATTTGAAATGTAGTTCTTAGGAGCTTCGGGGTATAAATTATGAGGCTCCAGCCCCATCGGCAAGATCACTTCCCGCATACCACATCGACGGCATCACACCCTGAATACTTCAACATGACACGTACCCTCATCATCTTCGGCGCGGGGCCAGGAATCGGTAATCACGTGGCTTCTGAATTCGCGTCTAAAGGCATTGAGCATGTCATCCTTCTGTCGCGCAACACAGAACGTCTCGAGAAGGAAGATGCGCCTTTTGTCAGCAAAAGCAACTCCTCCGTCAGAGTCGACACCCTGCGCATCGATCTTGCGGATACAAAGGCTATCCCGGATGTACTAAAGCAGCTAGACAGCATGACCGAAGGCGAGGACGTAGAAGTCGTCTTCTTCAACGCTGCTCGTATAAAGCCGAACGATGTCCTGGGTGTCAGCGTGGAGGAGATTGAGGAAGACTTCCAGGTAAACTATCCATTTCCGAGACCACCATTCCGCAATTCACTAACCGAAACAACAGACAACCAATCTAGCCCTCTACGTCATAGCACAGCACTACATACCCAAACTCCAGAGCCTGGCCAAGTCAAACTCCTCGCTCAAGCCCGCTCTTCTCGTTACGAATAGCCACCTGCCATGGGATCCGGTACCGCAACTCCTTTCACTGAGTCTGGTGAAGGCTTCGCAGAAGAATATGGTGGAGAGCTTCAGTCGTGCGTTCAGTGATAGTGGCGTGCATATCGGGCTGGTTTATGTCGAGGGAGTTGTAGCGCCGGAGAATAAGGTGCTGAACCCCAAGACGATTGCGGAGAGGACTGTGGCATTTTGGGAGGTTGGAGAGGGAGTTGGCGTTCACATCAAGGAGAAGTGATGTTGAAGTAATGAATGCGAATGTCAGAGATGAATACTATAAATGAAGCGTACTTCCGCACATCACCGACCGCATCGATGTTCGTAACATGATGTGGAAGTCGTGTTTTCTCTTTGGCCTGGACACGACGCGCAGTTGTCGACGTTCTTCGAGCCTCAAGACTACCTAGGTACAAAATAGCACTTTATGCATCGATGCCAAGCCCTTATCGTTGTTAGGGTCGCTGTGGTTTGATGAGGTAGGGGGTTGATGAGGTAGTCTTGGCAAGCCATTCGATAGCGTGCGGGCGGGACGCGTCGGGATGCCAGCCCCTCTTTTCGTCTCCGGATGAGAGACGCGTCGCACCACGACTCACTTTCATCAACCCATCATCTCTCTTTTCGAATCGTGCGCATAGCACGACTATCTTGTTGCTCCCTTAACGCATACACAATTTTGTTACGGTATGAGGGTCGCAGACACGACGATTCGCCACATGGTCATAGCCGCCGGTGTGTGCTTCGCATCAGCCAAACTGGGTTCCTTCATGGATCGGGCGACAAACGGCTTGTCTGTCACGCGGGCAAGTTCAAGCCACTGATATCGGCTGAAGGCTGCACCCCGCGGATGAGCTCGCTCATGACCAATCCACTGCCAGGGCCCATGCAGATTCCACTTGTACCTTGTCCGGTATTGACATAAACACCGCCCGGCATATACGGCCCTCGTGCTGCATTAGAGAGCTTCCCCATCAAAGTGCGCATTGGGACTTTTGCAATGATTGGCCTACCCTCAGCCAGGATCGGTCGATAACAGCGCCCGGTTTCCAACACTGCCAGCTCGATATCGTCGATATCTACGAACTGTGAAGCAATTTCCTTCATAACGGCGATCGACGCGGCTTGAGGTATCACCTCTACCGCTGTTGCAGGCATGACTTCGGCATCGCCAACGTAGCCGCCTACGTAGAGTCGTCCGTCTCGATAATCGGATATTTCTACTGGCGCTCCAGCGACGTTTTCGACATACACTTGGTGGCAATAGTCGGTGTTCGAAGGGCGCGGGGCCTTCAGAATCAGCCAGTTACCTGCCGATCGATCACTTTCCTCAAATTCGAGCTGGAAACTAGACGAGGGGAACAAGTTCTCAAGGACTCTCCCACTCCATGATCCTGCCGCTATCACGAGTGTAGCGCACTCGACTTCGCGGAGCTCGTCGTTGTGCTTGATCGTGACTCCTGTCAGCTCTTCTTGTTCAGCGTGCACACGGTGAACCTCCGACTTAAAAAGCATCTTGACACCAAACTCTTCGCATTTCTGACGGAGGAAGTCGATAAACTTGCGCGTGTCCCTTAGATCGATCAGCCGAGAGCGTTCTACATCAGGTCGTGTATACGT